GTACTAACAAAGACACATTGCATGAATAAATGTTCCATGTAAGTCCAAACCACTCTGTCAGTCTGTAGGTTAACAACACCATTTTCCACTAGGTAAGAATTAGGATACTGTTGCTGAAAATCCAAGTAGATATTTCATCAGGAATTTGGATCCTTATTGCATGAGATATCAATCCTTGTTTGAACATGGAGGTAACCTTGATGGTTTGAAGCAAAGTGTGTTTACTGACTTGGATGTATTCTGCACTCTTCTATTGACAGTATCAGTGTCTAGGAGAACAACCTAAAGGCAAATAGTTCAAGGTCTGAGCGAGCCTGAAGGAGACACTCAAGCAGAGGTTGAACTTCTGAGTGGCATTCGGTCGCTGACAACCTTCCTTTCAAGCTGAGATTGAAGTCACCTTCTGATCTGCACCTTTGGATGTTAATTCGGTTCCTATTTAGCTCAAGCCAATCCACGTGCCTCAATTTGTTGTACAAACCAGCCTAGTACAACTGTATGACTGTTAACATTGTTGTTTCTATGGTAGTTTTTTGGATCTTTTCATAGGATGCTAGTGTTTTTTATATAGCACACTCGCTCCATTGAATTCCTGCTAAAATCCGGGAATCAAGAGTTGGCATTAATCAGAAAATATGTAAAGCAAATAAATAGTCCATCAACTACAATCCAATAACTGAGAAACTGAGAGGATGACTGTTGTTGTTGTTGTGATATAGCTAAAATGTTAGAAGCACTAATGTGAAGCTTCAGGCTCAGTAGATATTATGAGATAGGAGAACTGTAGACATCTTTTACATTTACATTCCAAGATGATGATAGTGCTAGTCTACGTCTTCATTTGTAAAGTCTGATTGACAAACGAGTTAATCTACTATTCCACTGTTTTATTGCTGGTGCATGACAAATAAAAGACTTGTTGGCTGTTACACTGTTTTCTCATTCAATTTGTAGCCTAACATTTTCATCCCTTAGTATTTTCAAATGTAGGCATCTTTTTTTTTTGGTCCTGTTTTCACGCTCTCGCTTCGGATTTAGGAGCAGTTTTATTTTAGAAATAATTTGATATTTATTGGTGATGAGTGCCCCTTAATAATCATCTCCCACAGTCAGTAATGACTTTTTCGGTGTAATTAGTAATGATTCGGACTCATATTCCTTAAATTAACGCAACGTGTACTGGTGTGTCCATCAAACCTTGATATACTTTTAGAAGGTAACTTGAAAACTACAGGATTATAAGGTATTAAGACGAATATCTGGCAAGATGGATGTATCCCGTTAGCCTGCACACAATGCTTATTTCTTACCACAAATGAAGATTTTGAGTATACCCTCTGAGAACATGGTGAAGGAATGAAGTTGCGTGAATGTGTGTCTCACTCGCATAAAGACAAGCAACATGGATTTTGGAAATAATTTTTTGCTTTTTTCAATCATATGACAAAACTATACAAGAGGTAAAACCGTGGTACAAATTTACACCCAAGATTATGACGAAGTCTAGTCCACCAACTTTGACTTTTATCAATGGCGCCATCAAATCAACATAAATGGTGGGGGCGACCACCAAATGCAGCACAACACTGTCTGTACAGATGGGCTCAGGGGCAAACTCCATCCTGCTCCATTACATATTAGAGACGGGTGCATGACCAACAAATTGCACAACTCTGGGGCAGGACTCAGTATCGAGCAGCGTCGTCCCTGCCACGAACGGTAAATGACTGGAACTCCTTACCCCAAACAACTGTGGAGGCTAGAAATATTGAAACATTTCTGGCAAGGGCTTCCAAACTCTTCCGAATTCTTGACTGATGACCTCTCCCCTAAGTGACAGAATGATCGACATTTTTTATATGGGTCATCAAGCACTTTTTAATGACTCTAGTCTGTACGTAAGCACAAGCACGCCTGGTGATCCCCAAGTCCCCTTGTGCTTGCATTCTGACTGGCGGAACGAAGCGGTACTGCAAGGTTCCATCCGCATTTCTTGTTACAGTGTATTGAGCATTATTACAGTGTAATGAGATCATAACAGTGTATTGAGTCTATTACACTGTAGGGATCATTACAGCGTATTGGGATCATTACAGTGTAACACTGTATTAGAGCCATCACAGTGTACTGTCGTGACTGTTACACTGTATTGGAGGGGCGTCACAGTGTATTGACTTTTACGCTGTATTGGAGAGGCGTTACAGTGTATTGGAGGGACGTTACAGTGTACTGGCTGCGATACAGTGAATTCCTCAGATACACTGTATTCTGTCTTACAAACGCCGTATTTGTCTATTACAGTGTAATCTGCCTGCAATACACTGTTTTCTTTGTAATACACTGTTTTCGGTCAAAAATACAGTGTATTTTGTCAAATTACAGTGTAATTAGCTTTTGACTGGGCTATACAACCATAGAAGCCTGGCCAATGGACCGTGTAGCAGTGGCCTCTTGCGATTTGTCTCCAAACTGCAGGGTAACATTTACATGCGTCAGACGTATCCATTGAGTTTGTAGGGGTGTATATTCAACAATTTCATACAGCTTTACAATGAAAGTAGCAATTAGGGTTAACTTAAAACCTCATAACTCACTTATAAAATATCATTAGTCATTTCAAATCCAATAAGTAAGCTATTCAAAATGGGTGGCCATTGACTAAAACCGTGACCGACAAATTTACCTAAAATATTTTGGTACAGTCCAGAGGTCATGACCTAGCTCACGAGGAAGTAGACTTGTACGTGCACAACATTTTCGCGATTTTTTTAGTTCGATGTTCTGCATTTGTAGCGTTTTGCCTCAGGTAACCTCCAGCTTAACGATTCTCCATCCCTGAAGGTAAGTACTGCCCCGATTAGGATGCCTGCCGTGTGCCAAAATCGGGGAAAATCATGGAGGGAGGGGGCGGGGCGAAAAGTGGGAAACGTTAACTAACAATCGGTAGGGGGGCCTTTGGACTTTACAAAACACATCACGTAATGGTTTGCACGTATGTTGCACATAGTATAGTATCTGTTGATCTTATTTTCTGCCACATGCCAGAGCCTGATATGGATAGGTGAAGGCGGGGGTATTTCTGAGAAATTCTGACAATAATGGCTTACAATCATACAATAGGCAAGCGTTACAACAAACCAAGGAGCTTTAATTTAAAAAGCAAAAATACTATTTATGCTGAGGTCACATTTTCAAACCAGGGCCCGGCTGGGCTGTTCCGATTAAGGAAAAATCAATAATCAATATCAATAGTATTCGCAATTATTTGCTATTACAAATGTATTAATTTTTTCAATTTTTTGGTGTTTTTTTGTCTATGTCATACTTTTCTTTCTATAAGACTGCCCGGCCCCGGTTTGGAAATGTGACCTAAGTATTAGAGGTTAAACAAGGACAACAACAACATCAAGAAACAATTGGAACACTGTATTTTCTTGCGATTTCTTTTTAATTGGAGATTTCATTCTCATGTCTACGTTTCTTTTAATAGGTTGCCTGGTTGGTCGTGAGCCCTGTGCATGAGGATACTTAAGATGTCCAGTACATCGATGCTACGCCTTCTGCGATTGGTTGAACAAGACCACATCCACATCGCTGATGCTAGCCGCGTGGAGCAGACACTATCCAGCCTGGTGTTCGCCGGGAAGCAGAAGTTACGCGTCATCAGCGATTTCGACCAGACGCTCAGTCGCTACGCCTTCAACGGCATAAGATGTCCGATGAGTCACGACGTCATCGCCGATTCCAACCTTCTTTCCGAACCAACCAGGTTGAAGGTTAGAAAGGTGGTGGATTACTACTACCCGAAAGAGATCTCCCTGACCATCCCTATGTCTGAGAAGGTCCAACTGATGGTGGATTTCTGGACGCAGATTCACGACATCTTCCTGACGTCCAATCTGAATAAACAAGACATCACGTCCACCGTACACACTACCAGCCCACCGCTGCGGGAAGGCTGTAACGCGTTCATGAGCACGCTTCACCAACACGACATCCCGCTGCTCGTGTTTTCGGCAGGGCTCGGTGACATCATTCAACAAATGTTCGCCAAATACGACGTGGTGTACCCCAACTGCCGCGTTGTCTCAAATTTCATGAAATTCGACGCCGCCGGGAAGCTGGTGGGTTTCCACGACCCGCTAATCCACATCTTCAACAAGAACAAGAGCGTGCTACCGGACGAGAGCTACTTCACCGAACAACCCGAGCGCAGCAACGTCATTCTTCTCGGAGATTCGCCAGGTGATCTACAAATGGCGGATGGGGTGCCAAACGTGGAGAACGTTCTGAAGATCGGATACCTGAATGCCCATCTGGAGAGGCTGGACACATTTACAGAGTTGTACGACATTGTTCTTGTCCAGGATGAAACCATGGACGTGGTGAACTCAATACTGAAGAAGATCATAGATCCTTCCAACTGAGGGAATACCGTAGTTTTGTAATGGTTGTACTTAAGCAATTTTTCACTTCTGGAAATGAGACTTTGGTCATATTTTGTACTAATTCATCTATGTTTGTAATGAGAAATATGTATGACAACAGCAGCCAAAGCAATCTTTTCATATAAAGAGGTCATTTTCACAAATCTGGTTTGTCTAACCATGGTCTAAAAAAAAAATTATGAATGGATTATTCTATTATTGTGGGTAGTCTTTGACATGGATGGAGGTTGTTAAGATTTTCATAAAGATCAAGAAATCCTAGTTGTTGACTTTGTACAAAAGTACATTGTATTTGTAATACTTTGTATTAAAGGGTGATTATTCTTTGTCATTATTCAATAATAAAAATACAAATAAAAGATGCATCACATAAATTTACTCTTATGTGATTTTTTTACACTGATGAAAGAATCAGAAAACTTGTATACTAGTATTTGTATATTAACATTACAGGTTTCAGAGACAAAATACCAGTACAAATGTACAAATGTAGAATCAATGACATTATCTGTGTATAATGTCCTTGGTGCATTGAACCACACAAACTTCAACATGAGCTATTTAAAGATTGCCAACAGGTCTGGGTAAAAAAAACTCCAGTCCGTTCTGACACGGTTGTACACAACTCCAAATATCTGCTTGGAGATTTAAAAAAAAACGCGCCAAAAATGTGACGCAGGAGGTCAAAGTTCATGAACTTCGCGGAAACTCCAGAATGGCGGAGGCGATACTTAGCCAGATTTCTGGCGACTTTCTGGAGTGTGCGATCTGCCTGGAGGCTTACAAGGACCCCAAGATCCTGCCGTGTCTTCACACCTTCTGTAAGGGCTGTCTGGAGAAGTTCTTGGCGAAGGAAAGTGACGTGAAGGGACAGTTTCCGTGCCCAACGTGTCGGACCGAAACCGCGCTTTTGGAGGGCGGTCTTGGCGGGCTCAAAGACAACTTCTTTGTCCTGAGCTTGAGGGACACTGTTGAGGCTCAAAAGAGTTTGGTAAGCAAGGAGGATGACAAAATTCCTTGCGATGTTTGCGAAGAAGTATCAACCGGTGGCTGTGAGATCTGTGAAGAGTTCTTGTGTGACGATTGTGCTCGTACTCACCGTCGAGCCAAACGCACACGCGAGCATGAAGTCATCGGCGTGGCAGAGCTTAAGGAAAAGCGCCTCGCCAAGACGCGTTCCCTCAAGTCAAGATCTCTGCCGATCTGCCCAAATCACGAGGACGAGAAGTTGAAGTTCTTCTGCGAGACGTGCCTGCGCCCCATCTGCCGAGATTGCACGGTACTGCAGCACAAGGACCACAAGTACGGCTACCTGTCAAACGTCGTAGATGACTTCAGGGTGAAGATCAAGGACACACTAGAAGCTGCCAAGCCGAAGATCGACGAATACCGAGCTATCGCAAGTCTCCTAGCCAAGAAGCAAGCTGAACTAGATGAGAAGAATAAGAAAGCTGCAGAGGGCATCACTTCAGCTGCCGAGGATGAGATCAAGTACTTGAGTGGTCTTGTCAGAGACAAGCAGAGAGAACTTGAGGAACAGTTAGCAGCCGACACGGCAACCCGTTCCAAGCAGCTCTCTGCTACGGCAGACAGTGTTGAGAGCACCTTAGGCTGTCTGTCCAGCACCGTGGACTTCTCGCAGAAAGTCGTGGAGCATGGCAGTGACTTTGACGTCATGAACGTGTACTCTGACGTCACAGCACGGCTAGAGTCTCTGCTGAAAGGTCCAACTCCTAACATTCCTGATGACATCAGTGACGTCACGTTTCATCCCCAGATGAAGAGGATGAAGAAGCAAGTCAACCTGGGCGACATTGTTGGTGCAACCTCCAGCATTACTGGTAAGCTTCCATACTTGAATTACTTGTGTCATAAAAACAGTTAACAGGTTATGAATTCATAAGGCCAAACCGATTTAATTTTATAGATGACATCTGCACGTGCATTGATTTTCGCCTGTTCTCAAAAAAAAAAAAAAAGAATCATATCCTCCGAGGCTCTGGCCTGGCTCTAGCCCTGGGTAGTCCATGGTAGTTAGCGACAATACGGAGCCGATGTGGTGGCACCCAGGCTAACAAAGCTTTATGACTGAAGACCTCAGTATATACATGTATGTACAGTGCTGATTCATAAATTCCACAAAAACCCAGCATGTGCCGGCATGTCATACATGTCACTGTGTACTGCCGCAAGTTCACCATACCAGCTTTATATTCCTGTGCACATGGTTTAGTCACTGTAGCATTTTATTTTTGACCAGACTTTTTTTCTATTCGCCCGCACACACTAGTTTGGTGGTCTTCAGAGGATGTCATCCATAAAATTAAGTCAGTGTGGCCTAACTAATGGTTAAGATACCATGTGAGTTTTTTTGGTCTAGCTCGGTACCAAACCTAAACTAGCTGCCAAGTCTCTTTCATTCTCTATGTAAGACAAAAGAGACAGCTGCTAAAATAGGTTTGGTACCAGGATACTATTGGTNTCCTAAAATTGTAGTGAAGCAAAACAATTCATCTTTTATTTTGCAGATAAAGCTGTTGCTGAAGATGAAACTGCAGAGGACCAAACTGGTGTGTGTATGAAGTTCACCACCCTGGGAGCCACGGGTCGTCTGGGCCCCGCTACCCTGGGGAACCACTACAAGGGACAACAGTATGAACATCTGGTGACACTACATGACGGGATACAACACTTCTCCGTACCAGAGACAGGAACATACACCATAGAGGCAGCAGGTGAGGGCTTCTATGTTGATGGCACATGTACTGTAGTTACATGTATGTTCCATGTTTATTGTGCTTTATACATGTATAGAAAAAGGAGCTATATGTAAGACTAACGTTAGCAAGTTGGTTCAGCTTTTCACACAACTGTTTCTTTTCTACCATTTTCCTCAGGAGCTGCAGCAGGCTGGGGACCTTTTGATCCGAAGTCTGCCCGAGGACGCGGTGCTGTGCAGAAGGGAACATTCCAGCTTACACAAGGTTTGACATATTTACAAAATGTAGCTATAGCACCTGTTGGACCTTTTAACATCCCAAGGTAATGAACCATGTTGTTAATTTGTTCACAAAATAAAAGACCTCTGAATAAAATCATAATGATTACATTTTTTCTTGTTCCACAGGAGAAGGTCTAAAGATCCTGGTGGGACAAGAAGGTGCAGAGAACAAATCAGGAGCAGGTGTAGGAGGAGGGGGTGGTACATTTGTAACCATTTCATCACCAGATAATGAAGAAAGGCTGCTCATTGTTGCTGGGGGTGGGGGAGGAGGGGCAGGGTTACAGACTCACAACCCACAGTCTGACGGCTCTGTGTCTCAAAGTGGTAACAAGAGTTATGGAGGACGTGAAAGTAGTGGGGGAAATAATGGAAGTGGAGCACAATATAATGACTATACACAAGGTAGTGGTGGGGGTGGTGGCGGGCTGAATTCCAGTGGAAACAGTTATGGTCAAAGTGGAAAAGGAGGCAAGTCTTTTACAAATGGTGGGGTTGGAGGACAAGGTGCACACAATAATGCTGATGGTGGGTTTGGTGGAGGGGGAGGGAGTTATGGGTTTGGTGGTGGGGGAGGTGGGGGAGGGGGGTATTCTGGTGGTGGCTTGGGGGACTTTTGTTTGCAAAGCTGTGGAGGAGGTGGAGGTTCGTTTAACTCTGGTAAGGACAACAGTGGCCAGGCTGGGGCAAATGACGGACCTGGGTATGTGGTCATTACTAAACAAAACTAGAAATCAACTTTTAGATGTCATTTTGAAAGAAATGGTCAAATTAATTTCATACTATACTATGTTACATTTAAAAACTTAACTTATTAAAGATTCATAGAAAGTTTCTTACTAGGTAATTGGCAGTAGAAAAGTTTAGACTAGTTTCTATCAAAAAAAGAGCATACACTATAAAAGTATGTTATACACTTGTCTAGCATACATGTATAGATGTTAATAATATCATAGATTTCAGTGCCAAGTACATGTAGTAGTAGTAGTAGGTGCAAACAATAATAATAAATCAGTCATGTAATTCACGAACACAACAGGCAGTGTGAATAATTGTGTCATTTATTTAGCTACATGTATTTAGCTATCAGAAGAAATATCACAGTGCAGACACATATTACAAAGCATGGAAATCTGGGTTCTCAATTTGAGTACAACGTACAGTACAAGTCTCCACAAATCTCAAGAAACCATATCTGGGGATAAGAGAGGCAGAGAAAGATTAAGAAATACAAGAAGACTACAAGTTTTGTACATTAAATTTATAGGTACATGTAAATTGTATGTTGGTACATGTTGGTACATGTACGTTGTATTTTCAAGATCAACATACATGTAACATACCAACTGAAATACTGATTGCAATGCTCTAAATTGAAATTCATGTATGACTTTTGTTTACTTTGATTCAAACTTCCTTCACAAATAAAGAAAGACTTTAGTACATGTACACCACACAATGAGTTGCTGCCTTCGTTACCTATTTCATTTACCTAAGCGAGCATCTATGCCAACATTCCCTCAATCACTACAGCAACTGTAACATGTGTGCAGCTTTTTCTCTTATAATAAATTGTTGGTTCCATCTGCACAGCAGGTGAATAATATAATAACTACCTTCTTGCTGTATCATTATTATCAAAAATGATTCTTGTACAAAATATACTGAGCAGATGACTACCTGATTCAGAAAAGATCATATCATAATACTATGAATATATACAAAGTAGGTCTCCCACGATTAAAAATTCCTTATACCAGTATACAAGATGAAGAACCACTTGTTAAGTTTGAAGTAAAAATCATCAAGATGTTAATAACTACCAGTAGACTAAGTATATTTACCCATAACTGTATCCTAGGCCTGTCATCATATAAGGTTTGTCACAAAATTAAGATATCATTATACATACTGTACTGTAAAATTACCAATTTCAAAGCATGTATCAAGAAATATCAAAAATATCTAGACAAAAGTGATCTAGAAAAGTGATCTACTTGGCTTTCAAATATACTTAGTTACACCATACAATGTCTCTGTGGTGACAACTTACAAGTAATGGTAATTTTAAGTCTTGATAACTATTACTGACACTATCTCACCAAAATCACCTTTAAAACTCAAGACCAGATAAAACAAGAATGGTGTAAAAAATCTAACTACTGTCTTCTTGAGTCAACTTTATAGAACAATACCTAATTTCACTTGGAGAGGGAAAGATGTATAGCACATGGTTGCAATTGTATGCAGAATGATGCACTGTAATGATTTCTTACACATCCTTGCTTTCTAGCAATTCTCAACTTCCATGACTTTTGTATAATATATATCTTAACTTGGTAACTTTCACAAATAATGGCAATATTATGTAGCATGGCATAGTAAGAGTTACATGGTAACATGCAGATATACATGTTACACACAAGAAAGCAAGTGAGAAAACTACACATAGTGGTTGTACTACTGTCTTACTACTTCACATTTCATAGCTTTATGACTTCTAAGTCTAAGGCACACTACAGTTTTTAATTCCTTTTTTCAAACATTGCTTTAGATTTTATTCACCGAAAAGTCTGACTACAAAAAAGTTTGGGCAAAAGATCTCAAGTAAGACAAATTGTCTCAGACTGGTGAAAAAAAAGCAAGCTGGAACTGTGCTATCCAGTTACATGCATTGCATGTGCACGTGCAAGACTATGGCTTACGAATTGCGTGTCTAAATGAATAATTGGTGACAAAAGTCATCTGGTAATCATGCATTGTGTGCCCTCCATTGCAATGTCAGACAATCATGCAGTTTTATATTGGGTTAAAAGTGTTCTCATACATGTAAGTAGAATGAACCTTAAACAAGATATGTAACCACAATCAGTGGCAAGTTGCAAATGAAACTTACAATACTATGATTATGATACAGAAAAGTTCATAATAAAAGCATTTCTCAATTACGAAAACCTCTTTACAAAACCTCTTCCTCTACAAATTACTAATTTACAACAATTTCTAGGAGTACCTGATTGTTAGAAATTCCCAGACATTTTAGGAAGGCATTGTCAGAATTCATACAAGATATTTTCAATGGCAAAACTCCACAAATACTTCTAGAAACTCATCAACTTTCTAGGCAGCATGTTCTGTAAAAACTGATCCCTAAGCTATTACTAGCGCATCGGCACAACGTACTACGCCTGCGCAAAACCCTGATTTTTTAACAGTTTTTGTTGAATGTTTGGTCACTGTTGCATTAGAATTTTGCTTGTTGCATGAGATATCTTTTCTGACATAACATTTGGAAACTACAGACAGGATGTTAACCTTATATACGCGAATATGACCTTATATGAGACATTCTGCTGAAGTGCTATGCACAATACATTGCGGGTTTTGCGCAGGTGCAGTACATTTTGCCGATGTGCTGCTATTACTAGCCCTGCAGCTTTAAAACTTGAGTTTGGAGAGTCTCTGGAGTATAGTCTCGATCTCGGAGAAGAGCGGTCGCTCGCTGGACTGGTACTTCCAGCAGGACAGCATGACCTCGTACACCTCCTGTGGACAGTTCTCTGGAGCAGACATTCGGTAACCTGGCAGGGACAGGAGGATGGGTTAACATGGTGTACAATAAAGAAATGTCTGGCCCTTTTACAGGGTGTCTATGATAGAATTACAGGGTGTAAAAATGTTTATCTTGTATCATTTTTATTCTGTAATTATAGTGTTCCCCCCATATAACCTTTGACATTCACGTTTGTAGTACATATAATGTTGAGCTCATACTTTCTTTTTGCTTCATCTTTTTGACATACGGTAACCTAGCAGAGATGGTACTACCAGGCTAGGTGAATATGGTGTACACTTAAATGTCCCACCTTTTTATGGTATCATTTTATCTGTATCTGTATAGCCAGTATAATTGGCGTAACACACCAGCTTCTGTATCTGTATATCCGGCATAACTGCCCCTCAGCGTAACATACCAGCTTCGTGGGTACGCGATGCAGCGACGGCTTGCTATATTACACTGAACGACTTGTTATACCTTCATGCAGCCTCTGAGCATCTAACTCTAAACATTGTTTGAAGCTATAGTCTCTAGTGATGTCTATTGTACGTCTTGTTGGCAACAACTTCACAAGCCAGAGTATGAAAAGACATCTTAGTATTAGTATAAGTCTAAGTATATCCCTCATAAAGATGAAACATTTTACCGTGCTCAATTTTCTCCCTGGCCGCCTGATTGGTCATTCCTGGATACGGAGTACTCCCGAGGGAAAAGACTTCCCACAACAAGACCCCATAGCTCCACACATCACTCTCTGTGGTGTACCTCCCTGCAAACCACAAGCAAAAAAATAAAATCAGTCATGTTAACCAATACATGTAAGTCACACACAAGTACAAAATGTATGTACAAAATGTACTACAGGCCTGATGTGTACTCAAGGAGCTTGCTACAATGTACATACAAGAAATATTTGCTGCAATGTACCTGACACCAATAGGTGGTCCTCTGTACATGTATGTTATATACATTTTACTGTCATTTTAGAAATTCAGATATGAGTGTTGTAAAGTTGCATTTATGATTTTATCAGCTCAGTACTGTGTACAAAATGTACTTCTGGCTGCATGATGGCAACAAATTTTATTGAGCAATCATAGGAGCCTGAGGCTCTTTCTACACAACCAAGAGGTTTGTTAAGCTGACGTTTCGGTGACCGTTTGTCACCTTCCTTGTGGCAATTCTGACTGGTTCACATTGCACAGCACAGCAAACCTCCTGGTTGTGAAAAAAAAAGTCTCACATAAAACTACTAACTGATAGTGATACAAGAGTCGTCTCTCACCGTAGTTCATGGCCTCTGGTGCCGTCCACTTGATTGGGATCTGTTTCATCCCTCCTGACACGTTGTACACCCCATCCTCCTCCTCTCGTGACATCCCGAAGTCAGAGATCTTCACTGCGTTGTTGTTCCCAACCAGGCAGTTCCTCGCTGCAAGGTCCCTACAAAGGACAGGAAAAAGCATTTTTTTTATTTTATTTACCTCATAAAAATGACAATAACAATGTGATGTACACTCAACTTATTTTGTTATGCCACATACTTATGCCACAACTTGAAGAAAATTACAACTGTTCTCAATATGCAAGCTGATGAAGACTGAGCGATTCAGTTGAAAATTTCTGGTGAGTTAGTTTCTTTTTGAGTTGGAGAACAGTTTAATTTTCTTCATGTATTTTACCAACTCATGAACTTTTATGCTAATAATACACACAACTAACTTAACTTTACTTAGTTGGAGCTCCCGCTCGAACCAATCCACACAAAACAACATCCAAACATACATGTACAAAAAAACATATTTCATGCTGTCCTCTTGCTATATTCTTTAAAAAGGTTGCAGAAGTAAGAAAAATTGGCGTGTGCTCCTGAAGCTTTCAGCCAGCACTAGACTGAAGCAAGAAATTTTTTTTTTTATTTACCTCAATTTTTTTATCTCAAACAAGGGTCTTACAAACCACTTGGTAATAATAAAATTACATTAAGGAACTGTAGACTGAGACAGATGCTTGTTCACTCTAGACTTAATCCTGAAGACAGTAAAGTACATCATAGGTACATAATTGGTACATCGTTGTACATGGTTCAAAAGACTTTCTCACCTATCGTTGAAGAGGTTTATCAGTCACGTAAGATTACAGTTAGTAGAATATTCTTCAATCAGTGACTGTTTTCTCGTGTTCTCATGAGACTAGGTCACTCTGTGATCAAGATGTACAGCGATGACATCGAACATTTGGAGGTACGTGTTTTTACCTTACAAAAACAGTCACTGATTGAAGTCTATTCTACTAACTTTCTCACCTGTGTATGCAGTTCTTGGCTTCCAGGTAAGCCATTCCTGACGCAGCATCCAGACTCATCTGGACCAGCTGATTGGTTGATAGAGTTCCACCCTGGTTCCGCAGGAAAGTCAGGAAGTCTCCGTCTATTTGGAGAAATTAAAGAACTGACTGTCAGTGACCATACATAAAATACCTACCCTACATTTACAATGTACTTTAACTACGGGAATCTAATTTTTCCCTGGTTATCCTTTCTTACACTCTTGCACCACATTCATGTTTGTCGGTTCTCAAAGGATGCCATTGATTAAAACAACAGCTAGTATCACAATAATTATAGCTTTACAGTCTGGACGATCTATAAGTTGACAATGGTAACAAATCACCACTCTATTACTAGTCTGCTACTGTAAATCACAATCTTTTCGGGGTACTTTTAGTACTTACTCTTACACTTGTAACAGTTACTACCGTGAAAAAATAATTTGCCGACTTTCTTTTTGCTGCACCTGCCACCACCGCAAACATGTCCATTTTTCTCAGAATGCAAACTTTTGCTACCACAAACATAAAGTGATATACAGCATCATTCTGATTGCGTACTTGGTACTAGTTCCATGACGATGTAAATGGGGTGTCTCTGAGAGCAGACCCCGATCAGCCTGACAATGTTGGGGTGGTCGTACTGCTTCAGGATCCGGGCTTCCATCAGAAACTTGTCCTTCACCTGAAAATATTCAGCACAAACGCAAGGAGATAAACAGTCAGGCTTTTGTGGTTTAAGGCAGTAAGAATTCATTATGAATTCATGAATCTGGCAATAGAGTTGAGAATCATGATGATGATGAGAGAAAGCTAACAAGTTGTAATTACCATTACTTTTATACACTGTAACTGTTGTTACAGTACTTCAACTGGTGACAGAAACTGTACTAGATACAATGTGTCACAGAAAAAAATTAGACGGATTTGATTTAATAAAAAAAAATAAATAGATTCATTTTTAGGAGTTTGTATACAAAGCATTTCTAGCTGCATGCAAGAGATTGAAGAATAAATACATACTTTAGATTCTTATGGATTCTCTATTGCCACAACAAAAAGTACAGGGACTTTTGTATGGTGTTCTACAACTAAAGATCTAACAAAGTTAAATACACGTATATGGATAACTTCATCCTACATACAGAATATATGTATGTGGCAAATTACGTACAGAATATATATCAGTGATAACAATAAAGGTTTGACTATTCTCTAACATGTAGTCTCTAAGACTGAAACATTCTAAATTAATGTATTTTCCTATTTGAATACTGTAGAATGTAACTGTATTCATCTATAGGATCTAACGTATACATGTAATACTATTGATAATATGGAAAGATTCGGTAGAGTTATCATGTCTCCTTGCCTTCGAAATGCTGTTTTGAATGACTGCTTTAAGTTCTCACCTGTTTAGGCAGGGTTTCCCGACAGGTCTTGACTGCTACAGGAGTCTTGTCATCTTTCAGAACTCCCCGCATCACATCACCAAAGTTTCCCTGAAATCAAACAACTCATGTTGGGATGGAAGCTCATCTAGGTTGATGAGTATCTGTTACAGCAATGAGCTTCTATCGGTGATAGAAGCTCCTTGGTTACAGCAATGCAAAGTTCTGAGTCATAACGTCTTTGGCAAATGCTTTTCTGCTGCACAAGGAATTTTAAGGCAATTTATACACAATAAAACAAAAGTTTTGACTCAAAATTCAGTGACTGTAAATTTCCTTGTGTTAAACTTTTCAAACAACAGATACATGGGTCAAATGTAACTCTCAGCAAAACGTTTGACTTATGCTGACCCAATGAACTTTCAAACATAAAAGTGATTATGGTTCAACTTTGTTTCAACTTTGTTTGCCACTCTGACAACGGAATCAGATGAGATAGTTCCTTATCTTTGAAACACAGCCTTCCTGAGTTCAAGCATACATAGCCATCATGTCTTTGGACACTAGTCAACAATATCCTGTTACCCCCTATCTTCTCTTACAATAGACTGTTCCAAAATCAATCTGCTTGTACATGAAGCCATGGAAACTTCCAAGCAAAAAAAAGTGTACACTACAGTAGCAAAGTTCATGGTCTGACTCTGAGAAAAATGGAGGTGTTCATGGCACTATAAATGTATGTTCACCGGTGGCCGCAGGTGCTGAAAAAACGTCAGACAAATTATTTCTTAATGGTAATGATAAGTTCACAGTAAAAAAAGTGACTGCAAAAAAAACCTCGTACACAAAAATTAGGAATTAGAGTACTTGTACTGAAGCTGTGGAAATTTTTCAAGCAAAAAAAATAGTGTACACTGTGTTTTTCTACCCCTAATTATGTTTGATACAATCAAGAGTAAAACAGCTATGCTAACCCTGCCCAGCTTTTCCCCGATGATGACATCATCATGGCTGAGCTCCCACTTGTCCTTCTTGACCGGCCGGGCCAGGACGGTGCCAGACTTCTTAGTGACCGGCTGTCCGCTCTCCCATTGGTGGGTGATCAGCTGATTGATGGTGGGGAATGCCTGCCCTTCAAACCTGAACTGGCCCTGGGGGAGAGATAGCAATGATCAAATGAATGAATGAACTTTATTTCTCAACAATTGTACATTGTACACTGATGTATGGCAATAGAACGACAATACTACAATTTTATACTGTGACAGTCGTACAATTACTACAAACTATAAACAATTATATGAGTTACAGTTATAGTTATGTATGGATGAGAATAGAATGGAAATGAATCTGCAGCCAGTTTAGTTGATAGCTATAATCATAGTAAGCTTTTACTCCTTGCTGATACGAGGAAAGATCTACAGTATACAGAATTTTCCCTGGCTTCATATTGGCTTCCACCAATGCTACGTCTGGAAAAAAGAATGAACACGATTAATTTTGCATAAGATGATTTTGATCTAAATCTTATAGTTATGCTACTCATATCAGGTTTACTGATTTTACAACTCCAAAACCAATACATATTTTGATGCCAAATGGCTGCTTCAGAAGACAGTTACAAATACACTGTACCAACAATGTGTATGGTATCTGTAGAGCCGGTACAGCTGCCCTTCGGCAAAACATACATTTTTGTACCAGCTTCACAGGCATGCAGTGCTGCAGCAGCTGGCTATATCATACTGAACAACCTAATACACCTAACCTTTGCTCATTGAACTGTAATTTTAAGCTCCTTGGTGACAGAGAATTTCACTCTACGATTATCACAGCTCTACAGAAAAACAAGTTGTTTCTACCTCTGCATTGCTCTGTATGATGAAGTGTTTGGGCACCCCTCCCCACTTGACAGACAGCACATATTCCCCAGGTTTCTGGGAGCTCTAGTAATGATTCCCTTACTGTACTTGGTGGCAGAGAGTTCCACTCTACGTAATAACTATACAATTATCACAGCTCTAAAGAAAAACAAGTTGTTTGCTTGGTTTCTACCTCTGCATTGCTCTGTATGATGAAGTGTTTGGGCACCCCTCCCCACTTGACAGACAGCACATATTCTCCAGGTTTCTTTGAGCTCTAGTGATGATGCCGCTACTTGTTGGCAGCAAGTTTGAATTCACTTTACGATTATCATAGTTCTAGAGAAAAAACAGTTTTTAACTTGGTTTCTACCTCTGCATTGCTCTGTATGATGAAGTGTTTAGGCACCCCTCCCCACTTGACAGACAGCACATATTCCCCAGGTTTCTTTGAGCTCTAGTGATGATGCCTCTATACTTGTTGGCAGCAAGTTTCACTCTACGATTATCATGATAGTTCTAGAGAAAAAACGGTTTTTAACTTTGTTTCTACCTCTGCATTGCTCTGTATGATGAAGTGTTTAGGCACCCCTCCCCACTTGACAGAGAGCATGTATTCTCCAGGTTTCTTTGAGCTCTAGTGATGATGCCGCACTTGTTGGCAGCAAGTTTGAATTCACTCTACGATTATCATAGTTCTAGAGAAAAAACAGTTTTTACCTCCATGAAAAATGGAGGTATTGTTTTCGGCGGCGTCTGTCTGTATGTATGTACATTTGTATGTATGTCTGTGTGTGTTTCCACAACTTTGTGGTCAGCATAACTTCAGAACGCCTTTATGGATTATGATGATATTTGGTATGTTGGTAAGTCTTAGGAAGACAAACGTCAAGGTCAAATATGGGCCTCCTGGTGGATGACCTTGGTACTGCAGCAGAACTTCCGTTTTTTGTATCTTTTGTCCTGAACATGCTATGGTCTTGATGTTTTGGTGACAGATTGCTTTTCCTGTCAGGAATAAGTGGTGTGAGTTTGGTCCCCCTAGCAGCTTGTTCTGGAACTGCAGGGCACTTTCTGTCGAAATGTTTAAAAGCCAATAAGTCCAGATAGGAACAACATATTTTCATAATTTTTGGTGTGTAGGTATCTGAGAGAGAGATGTACATGATTAAATGCAAATTATGCAAATGAGGACTTTATTTGCATAATTAATGAGGAAATTCTATAATTACAGTGTTTTGCATTATACTACTTTCATACATGAAATGTATGTAGCCTATGGCAGGCAGATACTAATTATGCAAATGATGACCTAATTTGCATAATTTATGCAAAAATTCTATGATTTCTTAATGGTGAATGATGGGAATGTCATACTTGGGACATCTGTAACTTAATCAAAAGTTAACATACATCATGATACATATATCATGTTAATGCAGAGGTAATTTGCATAATTAAAGAAGAAATTTACATTTACATATCAAGCCCATATTTCATGGAGGTATGAGATCTCGGAATTCTTGTTTACTTGGTTTCTACCTCTGTATTGCTCTGTATGATGAAGTGTTTGGGCACCCCTCCCCACTTGACAGACAGCACGTATTCTCCAGGTTTCTGGGAGCTCTCTCGCACCAGGAACTCTCCCTCCTCCTTCAGCAGCTGAGACGTCTCCGTACGAGGGATGGCCCCGTGGTACCACTCTTCATCTGTCAGCGACTTCGCTGGGAACATCTGCAAACAAAGGACAGTGCCAAAAAAACAGTTACTCAGGCAACTGGATATGATTTTGGAAACGGTCAGACGTTTCAGGTAGCATCCACTACTTTTTTGTCTGTGACACTAGAGAACTTGTGCAGAAATGCAGGTTTATAAGCAAGAACTATAGATTGATATGACAGTGTTAGACATCCAGGTAATAAGATATGCCAAAAACAGTTACTCAGGCAACTGGATATGATTTTGGAAACGGTCAGACGTTTCAGGTAGCATCCACTACTTTTTTGTCTGTGACACTAGAGAACTTGTGCAGAAATGCAGGTTTATAAGCAAGAACTATAGATTGATATGACAGTGTTAGACATCCAGGTAATAAGATATGCAAAAAACAGTTACTCAAGCAACTGGATATGATTTAGAAAACGGTCAGATGTTTCAGGACTAGCATCCACTACCTTTCATCAGTGACACTGGTGAGATCTTGAGATAAACATTTAGAACTAGCCACCATGTCATTTCTTTAACCTTCTTCCTGCTACCAACCTCTAACTAATAGAGAATTGGTAACCAAATGGCCACTAACCCACTGTACATCCTTTGAATGACATGTTTTTTAGTGTATAATTCTTGTGGCAAGGTGAAAATCAAGAGTTTGGAGTGATTTAAATTCCCAGTTGACACAAAATTGTAAATGCAAAACCATCGCATTTAAGGTAACTTATGTCATGACTTATTACTGTAGAAGGGAAAATTCATACAGTATCTTCAGTTCATTTTGCTTTTTGTTGGTAGCTAAAAGATGGCTGTGCTTCTACAGGTCATTGCAATGACTTTATTTTACTACTGCTATGTACAAGTCTGTAGTATGTTGTATTTCCTATACTCTATCAAACATCACACATGATATTTACATCATGATAAGCGTCATCGTTGGGTTCCTCCTGTAGGTCGTTGGGGTCAGGGTCCTCAGAACTGACACTCTGACGCCCCCCTCCCCCTCCTCCCATCTTCCACCCCGTGTAAAATATGGACTTGATCTTCTTTATTCCACCTGTCTTCTCCTGCAGAAAAGACAAAAAAACATGTCAAAAACATAATTTTGAATCCCAGCAATAGGATGTTGTCAGTTCAGTATCTTTTGTTGGTAAATCAAGACCAAATCAATTGTTGTAACAGTTATTATTGCAGGTTAAACATTGGGCCATGTAAGCTTAAGATTTTGGTCAACTCAGAATTGCTCAAACTCACGGATTCTTGTGCTGGCTAAAAATAAAACTGAAGAGCTAATCTTTCTCTAGTTGTGACAGAGAAGTCTAGACACTATGTACTTACAGGTTCATTGTACCAAAGAAATTCCCCTAGCTCTATTTGGCAAGTACAATGAACAGTGGACCACAACTTGATGTCCCATCCTAATGACAGCGACCCTTTCCTGTAGCCTACATGTCAGGTGAGCAACAACAGCCGGGATTCGAACTCCCAACCTCTTGGTTTCATGGCAAGGCCACTAACCACTGGACTACGTACATGTACACTACTTAAGGAAGGGTAACAACATTTAACATCACTTCTGTGAATGACACAATTCTAAACTTACAAATGTAGATCAACACGAAAGCAGAGTCTAGGGTGTATCTGTGCCATAGAAAGCAACTGATCTTGATCCTGTTCTAGCTCACTGAAGAGCAAGTTACAGAGGTTAAGCTTACCCCCACAGCTGGAGGTGGAACTGCCACATCAGCGATGTCGATGCCCGAGGGTGGCTCCTTGTCTCCCAGCTGTGTGATCTTAGACTGTAACATCTCCTCCTGTGCCACCAGTTTCATCTCTGCTACCTTCAACTCGTTTATCGCCTGGCTCAGTTCTCTCTGTTCACGGGTCTTCACACCACATCTGGGGGGGTTCAGGAACAGTTTGGACAATCAATCTCTTTGTTGAAGAGGTTCATCAGTCACATAGAGTTAACAGTTCGTAGAATATTCTTTGATCAGTGACTGTTTTTGAAAGGTAGAATGATGTACCTCCAAATTTTCGATGTCAACTGTACATCTTGATCACGAAGTGACCTAGTCACGCGAGAACACGAGACTAGGTCGAGACTTGGGAAGGTTGGGAGCTGCCCAAGTCATATTTACCCCTACTCCGCAAGGAGGTGGGGGAGGCCAAAAGATCCACACAAGTCTTGACCTAGTCTCGTGTTCTCGCGAGAGTAGGTCACTCCGTGATCAAGGTGTACAGTCGACACCCAAAATTTGGAAGTACACGATTTTACCTTTCAAAAACAGTCACTGATCGAAGAATATTCTACTAACTCACTCTCTTTGTATTTCCCAACGCAAAAAAGTGTTCTCACCTAGAGCTTTTGTCACTCTGGTTTTCTTCAAAAGACTGACCCTGTGCATGTGAGACTTGTCATGTGTTCAAGACACCCAGTGAGACAAACTCAAAGCATTTTGAGCTTGACGTATGCTTTCAAACATAGCAAAATCATAAACTACAGTAACTTCATCTGTAATATAAATCTACATCAGATTCTTTATGCTGCTGTACATTCTGATATTGAATCTAAGTTCTATTTGCAAGCTGTACTTTTTTAAAGAATTGGACAGTGTATCATGAGTTCAAAGTATAGAACAGTGTAGGTTACATTTTCTGCTTATAAAGCAAAGCTGCATGTCAAAAGAAAGTAAAGGAACTTACACTGCAAGGTAGTATAGACCATCATAGAGAAAACAGAAGATACTGTTAAGATGGCCAACTTTATGGTTATGGATGCATTTCATTGAGTCATTCACTAAGTCATTGAGTTAAAAATGATTTGAATCACAAATGAAATGTGAACAAAACTTCTATTTAAGGTCACACCAATTTAATTTCTTGGTTGACAGAAAAATAATGGAGCGGGCGGGTGAAAAAAAATAAAAATAAAAAACAGGCCTAGGCATCCTATTATGGCCCAAAATGGTACGATAGGAGCCATGAAGTCAACACACCAGGCTGGTTCAAAATTTAAACAATGAATTTTGAACTTTTAATGATACCATTGCATTGAAAGATGGAATACTACTACTAGTAACTGTAACAACAAGGATGAAAAAGGACTGTTTTCAACTGTTCAGGGCAAAATATGAGCATTTTGCAGTTGATTCTGAATTTTCATTTTTGCTTGCAAATCAGAAAAAAATGAAGGAGGCAAATCCATTAACCAAGAAATTAAATTGATGAGGCCTAAGTTAGAATAGAAAGTGGTGATAAGAGTTGTCAGCTCTAGGGAAAAATGGAACTAGAAGGACACAGAGACACGGGAAAGATGAGAACTGACTCTGATTTTCCTTCTGCTCCGAGTTTCTGTAGTTCAGTGATTTCTGTCTCCTTGTCGTTCAGTTTTTTGAGTTTCTCCTCCAGCTGTGTTTTACAGTCCCTCAGGCTGGCCTCAAACATGGTGGAACTGGGGAAAAGTTAACAAAACACAACAAGAAAAACTGTGTTACGTCATTATCAAGCAAGTTCACTTATCTTGCACTAAATGAGACTGTCAGTGTGTATTGCTAAGGTTGAAACCGGTACAATACAAATGTATATCAGGTATAGTTACAACATACACTAACTAAAGTCTTACAGTATCATATTGTATATTGACCAGATTCTGCAAACATCGTTTTAGATATATATTGTATATTGTATATTGACCAGATTCTGCAAACATCTTTTTAAATATATATTGTAAACTGGTAACTTAAAAGTTACCAGTTTACAATATAATTTTATATTGTGAAATCAAATTAACTTAAGTTAAAATTTTTTTCAGTTCTGTAGAAATGTACACGTCATACAATATACATTTCCACGAAACTTGAACAAATAAATAATTATAAAAAGTTAACTAGTAAATACACTGAAAAAAAAGATTCACTTGAGACTACTGGAAGGTCACCTATTAGGTCTCAATACTTCTATCTTGTCAGAGAAGATTTGTTTACCTGTGTTGTACTGTCTCAAATGTCAGGTTGTTCAGGACAATCTCTTGGTTCTCCAGCATAGGGTCTTTGTACTCTTCCCACACTGACTTGTCAAAGTCTATTTTCACATACGGCGGGGGTTCATGTCTGTAGGGAGAAAAAAAATCAGCAAGCATGCCTTGTACAGAACACATACTGTACATCCCTATCAGAGCTTAAAATACATTTTGTCTGCATATATATCTGCACTGCTACAGCAGGTAATAATGAAAATTAACTAATATAATTGTATTAACTAATGCTATTCTTTTCGATAAGTGCGGTGGGTTCTTTAACGTGCGTAGGGTATGGCTCTCCTCAAACACAGGACCTCCATTTAACATCCTATCCAAGGGACGGCCCTAACCACAAACTCACCAAATCCATAGATACTTGTTTGCACCTGAGTGAAGTGAGAAAAGTTGTGTAAAGTGCTTTTCCCAAGGGCACAAGATCGGTGACATGGGTAGGATTTGAACCTTGGACCTATTGGTCCTGAGCCAAACACACTACCATTTATGCCACACAACCAACGGTAGACAGTATCTATTCCTTCACTACTTACTTGTGTTGCTGTATGAAGCTGTCATACTCATCCTTGGACTGCAGGGCTGCTATGGTTTCTTCCACCTTTCTGTTGGAGCTCCGGAACTCTTTTCTGGACAGATTTGTTTTCTTCTGATAGTCAGCAAAGATGTCCTTCCTACAGCATGATCAATTTGAAACAAGCAGACATTTAGAAAATATCCTCTTCTTTTTCTTCTACATCAGTGTAAGTTATTCATCTACGAGTTGGTTTTTTGCTGCATTCAATACATACTAAGTCTTGATGCATTCATGAAGTTAACCTGTTTTAGATTTATTTTAAAATGTCAAGCCTGGATGCCAGACCCATAGCACACTAGACCAGAACATTGGCAGTACTGCGCCTGCCCGAAACCCTGATTTTTCACTGTTTTCGTCAATTTGGATGTTTGATCAACGTTGTATGAGAATTTTGCCTGTTGCAGACGATATCTTTTCCAACATAACATTTTGAAACTACAGACGGGATGTTTACCTTATATACAGGAATACGGCCTAATATGAGACATTCTGACGAAGTGCTATGCACAATACATTACGGGATTCGTGCAGGTGCAGTGCGTTCTGCCGACGTGTTCACTAGGCCTAAAGTCAACCTGGCACACTGGATAACTTTTGGCCTACCAGTAGTGTGCTATGCGTCTGGCATCCAGGCTATAAAAAGTCTAGACAATAAATTTTTTTGAAGTACAGGGAGTTTTAAGAAATATTTCCATTTGAGGTGACTATATGTTTGAGAAATTTTTTAATCTTGAAAATTTGTTAAAAGTGCTTCTTACAGTTGGTCTGCCAGTTCTTCCTGGTTCTGTTGGTGTGAGTCTAGTAACCGTGGTAAGAGGGTTTCCCGGTAACCGTTCTGGTGGAGGACGGCACTCTTGGTGGCCAGGAGGTAGTCGTTATGTGTCGCATGCAGCTTTCTGGTCTTCTTCACGTAGCGGTCTTTTGTACTGTCCAAGTCTCTGCCAGCCTTACCTAAAATTAAAAAAAAGACTTCAAGTTATTCAAGTTATTACTAGACTGAATGTAACTTTTGTCAGTTTTCAAAGGTTCTTTAAAAAAAAGAAAAGTGTAAGATTTATAATATATTGTTGTGGCAGTTATTTTAGTATCATTACAAAGCGTCAATGTAGATGAATCTAAAATAACAGTTGGTACATGTGGATGTTTTTTGAAACAATACTGTTTATAGCAATGAGGACAAGCTGTGGGGTTGAAATTATGCTAATCAGGATATTATCAATGCTTTGTGATTGGTCCATAACATCAACCAATCCTGGACTCTCAAGCCTGCATGTACCTTGTGATTGGACGATAAGTAACCAATCAGAAAGCCTGAAACAAAATGCTATTTACTGTGTTCCTTACCCTTGGACACTGCTTCTTCATACTTTCTCTTTGCTTGACTGGTCTCCCTGGCTGCCTCCTTGTACTTATTTTTCTGTTTGTTTACTTCTTGGTCTACAACCTGCAGTTTGGTGAGTAGACATAAAAGATTAGACATTATAGTTCAGAAACTTGAAATGTTGAAGTATGTTTTTTGACCTTAAACTACCCCAGAATGGATGGGGAGGGGGGTGTGTCAGGTTAGAAATTTTGTAAGTCAATTTTTGTCATATAAAACATAGAATAGTGATAATGATTACCCTTTTACAAATATCCACTTTCAAAATACAAAATGTAAAGCTTTTTCTTACTGTACAATGCAGTTTTTCCACACACAATCCTTTTTTATCATGTCATGAAAGTTCATCTGTGTTGACAGTTACATGTTTGAAGGTTAAATACTTTTTTTCCAACACAAAAAGGTTGAACTTTAATAATGTTCTCACCTACAGCTTTTGACCAGTTACTCAGGTCTTTCTCAGTAGACTGACCCAGTCAGTCTATTGAAGAAGACCAGAGTGACTGGTCAAAAGATCTAGGTAAGAACATTTTTACCTTTTAATGTTGTACCAAAAGTTTTACGTTGAGACAATCTTTTTTATCATTCCCTAAAAAGTGTATGACATTGTATAAAATGGTACCTGACATGAAAGTTCATCTGTGTTGGTAGTTACATGTTTAGAGTTAAAACTTTAGATCCAACACAAAAAGTTCTCTTACCTAGAGCTTTTGATGTCACACTTCAAAGAAGCCATGTGACAAGCCTCACTGGGTCAGTCTACTGAGGAAGACCAGAGTGACTGGTCGAATATGCGCGAAAGCTCTACATATAGGTGAGAGAACTTTTTGTGTTGGATCTAAAGTTTTAACTCTAAAAATGGTACCTGTTTGAAGTCTTGGTCTATCCTCTCTCTGCCCATCTTGTAGATCTGTTGGGTTTGTTTCTTGTCCCTGATCAGAGCAGTAATTCTCTCCAGTGTCACACTGCTCAGTTCTTCTGCGTTCTGTTTGATGTACCGACTCACTGTCTCTGTTTCCTCTATTACTGTGTTCCACGCCTGGAAAAAAACAAAGAAAATATTTTAAATGAGACTAAAGCATGCTTTTTCCGGGGGGAGGAGTTGAAAATGAAATGGATTACTTTCAAATTGTTGTTTCTTTTGTTTGGTTAAGTCTAATAGTTTCTATTGTTTGTCACTAATAACAGATCACGCATTTACCAGCTCTCAGGTGATACAGTGTGACTATGACTATACTCATTTGCATAATACTAATTTGCATACTCGTGACTCGCTACATGCTGCCTTACCGTCATGCATGTATCTTCAATTGATTCAAACTCTACCACTGGAAAAATTACAGTAGATTTTGGGATGTTTTGAGTGACAAAAATACATCTTTGATTTTTTTATTGTTAAGACTGGAAGAACTTCCTTGACAACATACATGTATATCAACAGCAATTCACTTTGTGCAAGTAGCAAAATCAGGATGTGAATGCTGGATACAATAAGTGCAAAGATGTAGAAAAAAGTCTTTCATTAGAACCCAAAAAAGAATCTTACATTTAAGGTAGGAGTCTCTATATCCAGGATCCTGTGTTTGTTGGCGAAGGTGGTTATCCCGGAGAGTGCCATGGCGTACTCTCGGTCACTCTTAATGCGGATGTGGATGCACCTCTGGATGGTCTCCAGTAGTCTCAGCTCCTGGTCCATCAGATGCACCAGTGCCTGATGGGCATCTCCACCGCTCTGCAGGTGGTTACCAAATCCCATGATGCTCTACTGGTACTGTGTTTGCTTCCTAAGTGATAGTCTAGAAAAGGAGACATGATTTAGTTGTGAATTTCAGACTTCAGAATCATGCAAAAATGTTTTACAATTTTACCTCTGTGAATAGTTTTATCAGGTTGGTGAGTCACAGAATAAAGAGACAACCAATCGTTTTATTCAGCCAACATTTCAGTGACCGTCTGTCACCTTCCTCAGGGCAATTCTGACTGGTTCACATTGTATATTTCTAGAGCACAGGTGTCACTGCTATATTTGTTCTGTTTTACATTTACTTTTAACATTCAGCAGTGCACTGACTTAATCTAGAATGATGTTGGTTTGTGATAACCCACAAAAAACAGACTACCAAGTAACATACCAAGCAGACTGTTAGTGCATTCCATTGAGCATGTCTGTTTCATTCTAGTTGACATCTGACTATTGCATGATACCTGAAAAGTCCAAGTCCTCTTTGTAATCTTGATGTTTTTGCATTTGACTGCCCTCACCAACATTGTATCTAGGATCTTAACTTCTAGCAAAATTGAGGTAAAGTTTTATTTAAGGATTTAGTGTGGTAGAGGTCTGAGCATGCTTGGAATGAAGAGTATGTTGTTGTAAGTTTGAGCACGCAAGGCTAGCTCATGGTGGTCTTCATTGTTTGTGTTGAAAGAAACAGGTCAGGGATTCTCAAGTGGCCCTCACATGATTGAAAGTAGCTGCTAAAAATCAGACAGAATTTGTCTAGATCTGTTTTAGGGTGATTGAAATTCAGTGGACAGAGCAGAATGCTAAATAGGGAATCAACTGCTATGTCAGAACTGCAAGCTAAGGAAATTGAAACTCACCCAACGGCGTCAATAAATAATGATACTATTGATCAAAAGAGCCATGACTTGAACAAAAGTGCTTTCTGCATGTAAGTCCCATTTATCCAGGCCTCCTGAGAGAGGCCTGGATATATGGCAATTATATTTCTATAACTTTCTAATCTTAGAGCAGCAAGAAAGAACGTTTACTGGCCCTTCGATTAATATATAAACTATATTACGTATGTAACACCTTCTACAAGTAGTAGAATTCTATAGTCACAGAGATGCAAGAAATTTCTAACTATTGTATTGTCATTCTAAATCCATCTAAATGGACAAGTAGCTGTTTCTTGGAAGGCCCAGTTAACGTTTGTACTTTAGATTTTGAACCCTGATGATAGCACTATTATTGAGCCAGTGTTTACAAGGTCAGAATAAGAAATGAACAAAATAAGGTCTAAAGACTGCAATTGCTATTGGTGAGCCCTCTCAAAGGATAAGTCCAAAATCAAGGAAATATAGTTAATAGCAAGAATCACATGACTATCACATTCACAATATGCATTCTGTATTGGCAATCAAGAAAAAAGACTGATTAAGAGCATTATTTGTTGTATTCAAAAGCCATAATTGTAACTTCCTTTTCCTCTTGGCTGTTTGACAATTATATCTTTGATCCATCTAAGTTAAGGAAGTAGACTCAGGGGAATGTTAGCTACATTTATCATGAGGACACTCAGGTCAAGGAAGTCCAAAGATCACACAATCCAATTCTGCTGACCTAACTAATCACATGCACTTAGAACTTGTGCCAAAGTCATGAAATGGTATGGGTACTAGTAGTAGGTAAAGCTTTCCATGCTAACCTGCTATATTAGGTTTATTATTCTACACAAAATCATGCATGTTTTCCCAAAATACAGTATACTTTATCTTTATAGCATTACACCTTTTGACTGTTTCTCAGTGAACAGTTACAATGGTGCACAACTACATGTACAGTAGATACAACTTTCATGTACTTAGGCTTAAAACAATTGTGAGACATTTTGATCTACTCAAAGTGCTTTGTGTGATCAGTGTAATGTAAACAATGTCACAGTTCACACAAGAACATATAATTTTTGGGTACTTTGGCACCATCAGGGTACTACTAGCAGGTCTGACTACTACTAAGTTATCTATTGACACCATATTCATGGCTGATGTATTGTTTACAATGGGATCTGCCTGTATCAGTCATGAATATTAAACAGCTGATAAACTTTCTGGTGTTTTGCTACTTAAATGTACCTTCCTATGGTTTCCGATTATAACACTTAACAGTTACAATCGTTTTGTTTTCCATAGAATCATGGCAAAATTTATGATCTAAAGATGTTAGTATAATAATTATAATCACTTTATGACCTGCTTTATTTGACAAACAAATAAAATTATGTAAACACGAAATGGTACAACATCTGGGACGGTCCCAGTTCCAATAAGATACATGCCATGAAGTTCTAAAGTGAAAGTACTTTTCAAACATGCGTTGAGTTTAATCAGCCCATGATCAGCCTGAATTCTTCAAATTATCTAACGTTAATTGGTTTATGGAAATTCTAAACAAACATGACCGTGTTTTCAAGCTGATTTGAGGTGTTAATTAAATTTGCTGTGGCGCTGTACACAGAAGAAGATCGTGTCAAAATCAAATGTTTAGTTAGAAACTAAAGATTTCCGGGTTCACACATGGCCAAGGATAAAGTACACTAATCTTTTCTGTACAAGAAGGCTTTTGTGACACCGCCCCATGAAACAACTTTCGACACTCCCCTAAAAAACGACTTTCCCTTCTAAATACGATATAATTCAACGTTTGTAACTGTGCCTTACCTATCTATGTTGTCTCTACCGCATGCTCTCGCAATTTGAGCTCGTTGGTGGCGATTTTTGAGGAAGAAAAGAGTTTTTTCCGGTCGAAAACTTTGGGCCTACACCTCCCCGAAACGGGTTACTTACTTCCGTGAACGTGACGCCGCGAAATCTGTGCACAAAAGATGACGTCAAGAAGACACAGGAAGTGGTGACGTCTACCCATCTGCGGGGGTCTGCATGCCCATTTTCGGAAGGTATGATCAGGCCTTTTTAGTCTTCGAAATCTGTCAGTAGCCTCCAAAAAAATCAACGTAATTCGTAATATTACATTAACCGCAAAGCGTAAAGTCGTAATCAGCTCTGAGACCTTAACGGAATTCGTAATCGGCGGCGAAAATTTTGCGTAATCACTAACACTACCCCCATACAGACCCTCATCAGCCTGTCTGTTGTCTCTGCCGGGCATCAAAAAACTTCACCAAGGTAGGTTTTAATTTCCGAGCTTAAATATGCCTATATTTCACATTCCATGCGTTTTTAGAAGAAGACATATTTCATAGCAACGTCTGTTTACGTTCTGTAGCTTCAAGGTTCCCTGAAATTGTGTTATATTCTAGTTTTAGATCAGTGAACTGACAAAATATGTTATTGATTTATGGAGGATAGGAAACTGTTCATGTCATAAGACATATTGTATGATGTTCTGTGGTTTATGCTTTCTTTGATGTGTGTACTTGCAATACTTATGTGTTAGGGATGATAGTGTACCCTCATTATTCATGTTAAACCACTAAATGAATGCTCCAGAGAAGTGGAGGTGTTTCTCAAAGCTACATTTTATGTAACATTAGGACGATGCAAAAAGTCAATTTTCTGGTCATTTTTCTACAAAGTAAGTTGAATAAACTCTGCTCCATTGCAATTAAGTGTTATTCAGGAAGTTTAGGTGCCAAAATATGATGCCTTATGGTTGTATTTAAAGCTGGAAACACAGCTGTCAGCCATGTTTGTTTACATTCTGGTAGTTTGGGGTGGCACCAAAAATTTAGTGCACCTCCTGTGGTTTTAGCGCCAACCATAAATGTCAGAAAAAGTTGAAAAGTTGAAGTAAATGACAATTTTTGGTACAAAAATGTTACATAATGCTCCTTTAAATTGTGAATTGCATACAGTAACTTGGCAGGTCATTTCATGTCTAGTCTAGACTGGAAGTTTGACTGCCAAATAACATTGTTTGTTAGCAAACAGGATGGGATGGTCAATGGTTTGGTGTAGACAAATAGAATAAGTTGCTAATACATTATAGTGAAAGTGTGAAAAATACATTAAAGAAATATTTGAAGCCTTATGTCTCCATATAAATATATTGAAGGAAAGTGAAATATGTTGTTTTGTTTTTCTTTTAATGTCCATGATCAAGATAATGATCATTCTGGCATACTCTCATTAACACCTGAGCGAAGTTAAAGGAAAGTCGTGTAAAGTGCCTTTCCCAAGGGCACAAGGTTGGTAACATGACAGGATTCGAACCCAGGATCTCTTGGTTCTGAGCTGAATGCTCTGCCATTACGCCACCCGACCCCACCTATGTTGTAACAATGTGTTGCAAGTTGACGTCTACTTTAAATGAAATCAATTTTTTTTTAAATTCACAGAAATCATCCAGACTCCGAAGACAAACAGTCACGGCCTTAGATAGACAATCAGTAGTACAACAGGACGCACCAGTCCAAGTTTAGGGGCATTCATGGGGCTCTTCCAGTCCAAGACCAAAGACAAGACCACAAACCAACAGAGGAACAGACGCCAGAAGGCGACACCCAGAGACGAGAACACAGCTCCATCCCGCAAGCTTGTGTTAGAAACCAGTTTCCTGAACAAGTGTCCCGGAATGGACGACAAGGGGAGGAGGTATGTAACAGTGGGGGGTTTAATTATAGGCGCTACCAACTGATCCGGCCGATGGGTCTAGACCTTTTAGCGGAGTGGTTAGAGCGTCTGAAGCTGGTGCTCAGGAGGTCGTGGGTTCAAACCCCGTCCTTGGGAGTTCTAGCAAAGAGTGCCGCTCCAGGGATGTCGAATTCGGAAGATTTGAGGAAGAATTTTGAAAAGAAAAGGGGGAGTAGTGTTACAGTGGGGGGGTTTATAGGCGCTACCAACTGACCTGGCTGAAAGGTCTAGACCTTTTAGCGAAATGGTTAGAGCGTCAGAGCGTGGGTTCGAATCCCAGGACCAGGGGTTTTTATCTGTTTCTACTCACTCCTCCTGTTTCTTACAGGTACACCGCAGACTTACAGGACGATGCAGACGTAGAAGACAACGTGGAAGAACTTACTTACTACCGAGATCCTGGAAACCAAGACTTAAGAAACAACGAACCAAGTAACACGTTCAGCTCCGTCAATCATAATGCGAATTCACCGTTGGTAACAAACCATCTCACAGAAAGACCTGGGACTTCTTACAGTAACGGGCCGTATGTGGGCCCAGGAAGGCCGCCGTTTGAAGTGCGTAAGGAAAAACGTCGTACGGACCGGCCATCACCAGATGTCATCCCTCCGAGTCCAAAGTACTTCAAGAGAGATGCTCCTTTCCCACAGTCACAACAACCACCTAACTACAGTTACTACAGACCTGTGTGTATGTCATACTCTGAAACAGAAGAATCAGACACTGACGGCTTTTCTGAGGTCAACGCTCTTGACTTGACCGCGACGGCGCTAAAACACGAGTCAGGACGATACCAGCTATGCTACAGCGTTCCCAGTACCTCAAAGTCTACAGAGGCTACCGCCATGTCTTCTGCGGAGTCCGTAGGCTCGAGCTGTGATCCGTGGAGTGTACATTCTTCACAGTCCTCTCTTTTCTCATCATCCTCGACTAAGAGGCAGCTAAGCATCAATGATCTGCCCCAGACAGTCTTACTGAAGATTGTATCGTACCTGAGTATGGAGGAACGGAGTAGACATGTGTGTCGGGTGTGTAAGCTGTGGAATCAGATGTGTCTCGACTCCGAACTTTGGAGGAAGATCGACTTACGGGGAAAGGGCAAGGTATGTTGTCAGAGAATTGTCTAGGATTTTCCAGATATATGCTTAAGTTATAATTGGTAGAAATTACTAAATAGTTTGAACCTATGCCTAATAAGGCTTTGTATTACAAAGGAAAGAGGAATTCATTTTGCCACCTTCAACCTTTAGTATATGTAAAAGATATATGTGCTAGAGAAGAAACACTTGTTTTTAAATAATAGAGATTAAAGTTGTTAAGAGCACTAAGATATAAGGCATGGGGTGGGAGATCCAAAATTACTAGGTTACTAGTAAAGGTAACGTAGAAAAATGGCATTTTCAAGAATCTTTAAAGTTTTAAAGAGAGAAGACTGTCTGCTCTCCTAATTCTATGCCAAAAAACAGTTACTCATGCAACTGGATATGATTGTGGAAACGGTCATATCCAGTTGCTTGAGTAACTGTTTCTTGGTGTATCTTATTATTACCTGGATGTCTAACCTACACCAACGTAGAGCTCTATCTTCCCTCCCCCCCTTAGGTGACAGATGAAGTGCTGGGCCGTCTGACCTCCTACAGCACAAATGTGACGTCTGTAGACATCTCTGACTGTAATAACATCATGGACCAGGGGGTCATCACTATGGCAACACAATGTTTCAGTCTCACTGAGTTCAAATGTACCAGGTAGGACTTGGCATGTAGTAACTAACAAGCACAGAAATTTTGTGTTCACCTCTGTTCCATTTAGGATAGCAATTTATTATGTTTACGGTACTGATTGTAAACATATTGTTTTTGCTCTGTTTCCTCTTCTCCAAACCAATAAGGTCAATGACCTGAACCAGACATCTATCACCATGGTAACTGGTGTTGGGTTACATCATGTTGCAATTTTATAGCAGGAGGGATTTGGACTCCTGTCTCACCATATACATTCATATGACATGTATATGAATGTGTTTGTCAATGAGTAAGAATAAACAGAGCAGACCATATGCGGAGGTAAGCATTATACTTATAGAAATCCATGTGTACATATATTTTGTGATTTTGTGTTTTTAAGTAGTGTTTGTTTTTCTAGATGCAATCACCTGACAGACGCTGCCTTCATCGCGTTAGCAGAAGGCTGCCCTGGCCTGCTGAAACTCACTCTGGACGGCGTACGACAAATCACTGATGTAGCGTTTAAACAAGTAAGTTTTATTCCATGGCTACTTATTTTAGCCTCTCCCAGGCTTCGGAAAGCGGCTGGAAAGAGTAGAAATTTGCCAGATAGACAGATGATAAGCCAGAGAGTTGGTCCACTCGAGCAGTCCACACAAGGACATTATATATTGTCCTTGGTCCAGTGAAAAGTATTTGCTGCATCCTCAAAATACTCCTTTAACCATTGGAGCTTCCACTTGGCATGTTATCTGTATGTGTATTTGGCCAATTTCTACTCTTTCCAGCCACTTCCTGAAGCCTGGTAGAGGCTGATTTTGTAGTCTTATTAAAATATTATCCTGTACTGAGATATAAAAAATAAAAAAAAGAAATGAAAAAAGAAAAAAAAGAAACGCATTTGTTTTGGAGACTGTCATTTAACAAAGAGTATGGTGTTTGTGTAACTGGAAAAGTTGTGTTTAGCAGTTTGGGCAAAGGGCTGAAGTCTGCCGTCTCTCTCTGTCCCAGATCGCAGCACGCTGTAAAGACCTCTGGTATCTCAACGTGAGCCAGGTCAACAACCTGACCGACGTGGGGGTCAGACACGTGGTGACCGGCTGCCACAAACTTACCTACCTCAAGTTCCAGGAGAACAACAGAGTAAGTCATTTCTTACCTCAATGTAGCCTCCATGGCATGCCAAAACTGGGGGTCTTCAGGGTCTTTGGGAGCTTTTATGTGCTATTTTCTGATTGCATATACTATATAGACAACATAGCTGGCCTGGTTGAATTACCCCTGTTTTTTAGAACTGGGCTAATCAGAAAACTGCTGAAGACCACCAAACCCCCAGTTCTATAGGCCTGCTACGGAGGCTAACGTCGATGAACGTTAAACATTAGGTAATAAGTTGGGTTACATTTTGTTGCAATTTTATAGCAGGAAGGATTTAGACTCCTGTCACCATATGTATGAATGTGCGTGAGTAAGAATTAACAGCAGACCATATGTGAACGTAAACATTATGCATTTGCTTTGCAAATGTTACCTTTCTACTAGCTGTTGTGTTTTTGGTTGTTATGTGAATGTCTTAAAAATCAGAATCTCAATGTTTAACTGCATCTTTCTACATGTATTATTATGTAGATAGCTGATTCGTCGGTGGAAGCCATAGCTGAACACTGTCCCCAGATGGAGGTGCTAGGTCTGATGGGATGCAGTATATCCTCAGAGGCAGTTCTACATCTTACCAAGGTGTCTGCCATTAACCATTTATTACAGTCAAACCTGTCCAAGCCAGCCACCCAGTGGGCCAAAGAAAAGTGGTCACCTTGGACAGGTGGTCTCCTTGAAGTGGATCACCTCTCAACATGACTGAGACATAAATAGTTTCCAAGTCGAGATATTCTAATGTCAAATGCTGTAAATGCATGTGGGCAGGGTGGCACATGGAACAATTTACCTCAAAAAAACATCATCCAGCAGTCAAGGAAAACTGGCTGGTTTCTCCATCATTTCTCATTAGTTATCATCAATAATCAACATGATTGAAAATGATGTGGTCACTATGGGCAGGTATTTGGCCTTGAGTGGACCCAACTCATCAGGGCGGTTGCAGTCGTGTTGGCCAAGTGGTCACCTGTTGGACAGGTTGCTTGTGTCAATCGAGAAAATTTTTGGGACCGAGAAAAAGCAGAGAGGATGTCTTCTATATAATCAAATCAACATGGTGTAGATTTTCTGGTCCATATGTCCTCCTATCTATTATTTATTTATTTATTTACAATGTATTTATTTATTCACATATTGAGTATTTAAGAGAAGAAGCACAGTTGCTTGATGCCTTCTACTCAAAAACATAAAATGATCATGAGAGTCAAACACAATGACAAAATACATACTAGTACATACACAAATGTAATTACAAAATTAACTATGTTTTGTTTTTGTTCCGTAACTTTGCACCCCAGTGCACCAACCTGAAGGTGTTGAATCTGTGTCGACTGCGTGAGCTGACGGACTTTGCGGTGATCGAGATCGTGCGGCACTGTCGCAAACTGGAGTCCGTCAACCTGTGTCTGAACTCAGGCATCACCGACATGAGCATCGAGGTCATCGCACGAGAGGCCAAATGTCTGAAGGACCTACACATGGTGGCCTGTGCCATCACTGATGAAGGTAATCATTTTTTCTACTTTCAACTGTGGGGTCGTGGGGGGTAATGGCAGAGTGCTCGACTCGTAACCAAGGGTTCGAGTCCTGACATGCCACCGATCTTGTGCCCTTGGGAAGGCACTTTACACGACTTTCAACTAAGAGGTTCCCGTGTTTGAGTCCTGACATGCCACTGATCTTGTGCCCTTTAGAAAGGCACTTAACATGACTTTCCTCACTTAAGTGAAACTTCAGTATTGCCCTGTCATGTAATATTTGTGTCTGTGTGTGGGACACAACACCAGCAATAGCTGCCTGTATCCCACGTGTATTGTATTGTTACAATTTCAATGAATCAAATCAAACATGTAATGACTAGAGATGGTGATAGCACACTAAAGTTTTCACCTGAAGTTATGCTGACTACAAATGTGCGGAAACACACACAGATACACAGACACACAGACACGCCAAAAACAATACCTCCGTTTTTCATGGAGGTAATAAAACATTTTATTATTGTGTTGACAGCGTTGACCAGTATCGGCAAGTATAGCCACAGCCTGGAGACGGTGGACGTCGGCCACTGTCCGAGCATCACGGACGCAGGGTCGGCCTTCATCTCGCAAAACTGCCGCACTCTCCGCTACCTGGGCCTCATGCGCTGCGACGCCGTGCGCGAAGAAACCGTGGACGAACTCGTGGAGAAATACCCGCAGATCCACTTCAGGTTTCGGATCCCTGACTACCTTTGTTTTTTTTGTAACTTGGTTGGATTATGTTATATGGAGAAAGAAGACCTGGAGTATATGTTTGCTACAGAAACGTTACACGATCCTAACCGGTATTTTCTTCTAACCAAAGAGGCATTTCAGCCTTTTTAAATCGCTTTTGCCGGCCGCCCAACATCCAGCCGGCCCCCGAAAACTATGTACGGAGCCCCCCGGAGCTTGGGTTACATAGGCTATCGGATCCCTGGCTACCTTTGTTTTTTTTGTAACATGGTAACCATTTGTTATATGAAGAAAGAAGTCCTGGAGTATATGTTTGCTACAGAACAGTTACACGATCCTAATCGGTATTTTCTTCTAACCAAAGATTCATTTCAGGTTTCGGATCCCTAAAAACCTTATTCTTTATGTTAACCTTGTAACCATACATGTATGTTATATGGACCAGCCTTTAGTATATCTTTGCTACAGAAGAAATAAATGATCCGCATTTTTCATAAAAGATAAATACCCACAGATTCACTTCAGGTTTTGGATCCCTGACTAGCTTTGTCTTTATGTTAACCTTGTAACGAATCGGATATGTTACATGGAGAAAGAAACACTTCAGTATATCTTTGCTACAGAACAGTTAAATGATCCTAACCAGTATTTTTCTTATTAGAAGTGAAATACCCACTGATCCACTTGAGGTGTCCATTCCATTCCCTTACATTCTTTACGTTTACCTTGTAACGATATGTTATATGGACAAAGAAACCCTTCAGTATATCTTTGATACAGAAGAAAGAAAATAATCCACAGATCCACTTCAGGTTTAAGATAGCTGACCACCTTTTTGTCTTTATGTTAACCTTGTAACCATATGTTATATGTATATGGACTATGAAACCCTTCAATATATCTTTGCTATATAATAGAAGAATTAAACAATGCTTTTTTTCCTAGAAGAGCAAAAAAAAAGTAACTTAGATTAGTTTATAGTTATGCCATGTGTAGTATAGTAGCATGTTTGTTTGTTAATGAATGTTGGACATACAGTTATAAAACATTACCTTACCTTAGACGTTATAATAATTGTGTTGCAATACAAAATGAATAGAGCAATTGCAAATTCTCTTTAAGAGTCAGACATTTCAGATCGCATTCACTCTCTTTCGTCAGTGACTAAGGATGTCACCAGTCAGAATTTATCAGTCACTGATGAAAGAAAGACAGTGGATGCTATCGAAAATGTCTGACTCTTCGGAGCATTTTGTCAAGTTGCTTTATTTATTTTGCATTAGGCCATGTTGATTTGATTATATGGATGACATCCGCGCGCGCATGAATTTTCGGCTGTTTCCAAAAAAAAAGAAGTTTTCAACCATACTGTAAATCGTACAAAACAGTTGCAAAATGAGCAAAAATATACCATAAGTTACAAAAAAAATTAATAAAAACTATACCAATGTCGTAGAATGCCAAAATCAAACGAAAAAAGACGAAATTGTAAAGAAATGAACTTGAAGACTAGATTATTCGCCAAACCATATTCTGTGCCATTTGCTCAACCCTCATGACCACGTAGATTCTATAATGAAAAGAACTTTTTTTTTTGCAAAACTTTTTTTCTATTCGCACGCGCACATCAGTTTTAGGGCTCCCGGAGGATGTCATCCATATAATCAAATCAACATGGCCTTATGTGACGTGTGAGTGAGTGACGTGTTGTTTTCTTGTTGTTTCAGTACGATGATGTTAGACTGTAAGAGAATCTTGGCACAAGCCCAGCAAAACGGATGGAAACCAGCACATGCAAGATAGCCGTCAGTCTCATACCCAAAAGGAGGGGTTGTGTTTTCCTTTGAAACTTGACAACATTAGGCCACACCAATTTAATTTGTTGGTTCTCGGCTTTTTTCAGAAAAAATATGAAGCGACAGGGGAAAAAAATGAAAACAAAAACAGGTCTAGGACTCTAGGCATTCTATTATAGCCTCAAATGCTAGATGGGAACCATGAAGTCCACACAAAAGGCTGGGTTAATATTCAAACAATGAATTTCAAACTTTTAATCAGACCACTGCATTGATAAATGGAAAAAAACACTGCATTGATAGATAGAAAAACTGTAACAACTAGGAAGAAAATGACTTTCCACAATTGTTGGGAGCAAAATATGAGCATTTTTTTGGTTGATTCAGAACAAGATTTTTTTTTTTTTTTTGCAAATCAGAAAAAAATGAAGAGGTGAACCTGAGAACCAACAAATTAAATTGGTGTGGCCTTGGGAGGGCACAATCTTCCACCAAGGCAGCATTTAAAAAAGCACAATAGCCTGACTAAATCAGGCTTCTAGAGCAATAGTCTGTATTAGTCAGAGAGGGGCTCTATGGCCTCTTGAAGCACGTCGGCAGAACGCACTGCACCTGCGCGAAACCCGTAATGTATTGTACATAGCACTTCGACAGAACGTCTCATATAAGGTCGTACTCGCGCATATAAGGTTAACATCCCGTCTGTAGTTTCCAAATGTTATGTAGGGAAAAAATCCTTTGCAACAGGCAAAATTTTGATGCAACGTTGACCAAAAATCCACCGAAAATCGTGAAAATACAGGGTTCTGCGCAGGCGTAGTACGTTCTGCCGACGTGCTGCCTCTTGACATGTACAGTTTGTGTTATTCTGAGACACAGGGCTCGAAATACGTTTTTCTACATACCTGCACTGGTGCAGGTAACATTGAAAATTACCCGATCCAACCAGACAAATTTTACCTGCACCACTCAGACTTTTGAGAATTCAATTAGTAAAATTCTTTTGTACTCTACTCATATATAACAGTCATTGCAGCAAATGAAAAGCCACATACACCTATATGTACATGTGTATATAAACCCAGTACATGGACCAGTGCAGGTCAGAAAAACATGTACCTGCACAGCCCCAATTTTACCTGCACTAAGGTGCATATGCACCCAGTATTTTGAGCCCTAACACATGATTACCACAAGCCAAATAATATGTCTGAACAAATATGGATTGAATCACATCTTTATGATAAAGATTCTTCTATGTGTGCCATATGTTGTAATGATGTAAAGATCTGGTCTATATTGTAATGTGTCTTATATATAGTTTTCATAATGCACTGGATATAAGAACATAAATGTATTTGATGAATGTGTATCTTTTCGTACTTAAGTGTCACAGGTGTAATACAGAGACCTAGTTTGCAGTTATTATCAATTTTTTGAATTTGTTAAAATGACACATATCTGGACAACAGTATGATGTAAAGACGGAAAAGAACATTATGACCTTTTTAATTTAAAATGACAAACCATTAGAAAAGCACCATTGAAAGACATTGTGCAATCATGTAACTTGATATTTTCATATTGTTTGTCAGCAGTCTTGTTATCGAAAAGGCAGTTTTAGACCATTGTTGATTGTTGGTAACTTCTGTTGTTGGTAACCTGCTTGGATACCTCACAACACAATGCCTCCCGACAAACTTGAATGAGCCATAAGCTGAGCCATCTACTTAGTGCTGTGTACCGGTTCGCTGGACCGGTTCCGGAATTGTTTAAGTTCAAGTAAAAAAAAAACTGTAAGTCAAGAACCTATTCCGGGCTTACTAAAAGAAAAACATGTCATATACCCCATTTCTTTCCAAAGCACCTTAAACTTTCCATAGATTGCTACAAAATGAAGAAAGAAAAACATTGCCTTCGTGCATCGTCAAGTGTTAGCCTCCATGTTATGTGACCACAGTTTTGACTGTACAACATTGCAAGGTTGCCAACATGCAATATTGTATATGCCATGGGTTTAGGTCCGAACTTACGAGCCCGGAACTGAACCTAAACCTCTGGACTTGAATCCGGACCTGAACCTAAATGTGGGTTTAGGTACACAGCACTACGTCTACTTGTGAAAGCAAGTTAAAGGTAGCTCTGGTAGTGATGGACTGGCAGAGATTATGTGTATGGGTAATAATGTAGAAATGCCTGGGAGCCATGTAAACATTAAAGGCTTGACAGAATTATGCACAGTGAAAGAAAATGTGTACTAGAATATTTCTGTTGAAAAATTGCAGATATTTATACCCATCCCTACTTTTTGGTATATTCCTGTAGGTAATCATGTTTTCAATTTTGATACATATGTTTTTTTTTGTAATATAAAGGTTATTTTGTCAGATTTGGGGTCATAGACAAGGCCAAAGTTTCTAATTTTGAACCATCATCATATTTTAAGCTTATCAGACCACCATACTTAGGGGATGGTATGAAAGACATTGGTGTACAATATGCATACTGTACATAAAGAGCACTGGCACATACATTGTATAGTCAGGAATGTACCTGTAGTCTGGCCCAGTAAGGAAAGGTTTTCTACAGTATATAGGAACTAGAAACAGTGCAGGGAGGAAAGACAATGTGTTGGTTGTGCGTTGACAGTCTTTTCACATAGTATGGGTCTACCAGTGCTCTGTGACATGTGTAGAGGTCTTTCTGGTGAAAAACTTGGGCAAAAGAGAAAAAAAAAATATGTATAGTGACAGTCATGTATAATGTTACAACGATTGTCAATGTGTATCTTTTGTAATGTACTTAGATTCTGGAAGTGCATCTGGTGTTGGTGAATTGAACGAATTGTGTTGCACATGTGATCCATTGTAAATTTGCATGGTTTGAACACAAAGAAAACACACAAGATAAATCCAAGAATCTTTATTGGTTCGTGCCTTATTGTTGTGCATTTTTTAATTCCATAGTAGTCACTTGATATCTCATTTTTCTATTACTTTTCATACAGGTGACATGACTTGAAAACTTCAACAAAAGGATAGGAAAAGAATGACCTCCCTCCCCGCCCGAAAGTACGTAGTTGGTACAGTCCAATGCAGGGCAGCCGTACACAGAGGACACCTTGTGGCTTAAAAGGAGATTACACCAGGTTCCAGTGAATATCCACCCTACACGGGTATCTCGTCCCCTTCTTTCTTGTTAGTTATCCCCCATGTGATTTAGTATTTAACTGTTCATAGACCAGAATTTGATGACCAAAAACTCTAATGCTTGTTTCACAGAATGTGCAGCCTTCTGCAATCACTGATAGTTTCCGTCAGTGACAGGGAATTTTTTCCCGCCAAAGCGAATCTGTCACAGAATTAGCGTTCTGCCTGCATTTTTTTCCCGCCAAAGCGAATCTGTCACAGAATTAGCGCTCTGTATTTTTTTTCCCGCCAAAGCGTTCTGCTTAGTTCTGCCTGTATTTAAGCGTATCATCTACGACAATCATTGAGTTCAAAGTTCAAGGATCGTCGATAAAGTTGCTCAGCTTGTCTATCGCCTCCGTCATTAAATGACGCCCTGATTATCTCTGTAGATAGGTGTGTACGTACTGTCGACCTTTCAGGTCAGGGCACTAACGTTAGCGCACGTCGGACGAGTTAGTTGCACTGCAGGGTCCGACCTTCTAACGTGTAGGCAACACTACTGGGGACAAGCCTGGCGTATTGTCTTGGAAATAGGGACATGCCACACAACATACATCCCTCTGCCACGACTCAATACTACATCCTACAATTGTGAAGAAAGACGTGGACTTAAGGACGTGAATATACGGTCTATTGAAGGATTTTGGATTTTAGTTTGGGACTTGTAGGCCGCTCTACAGACTACTTATTAGACCACTCCCAGAAGAAAGGTTCTTACCCCTCGTAAATGGGGCTACACAAGGTCGACATGTCATCTGTTTTGACTTTGATATCTCTCTATTTTTACGTCTGACAAGATAGAAGATTTGGTCTGACCAACACTGGATTGCTACAGGTAAGCTATTTTGAGTGTTTTCTTTCTGAAGGTTGTGTCTTAATGTGAGGTATGGGCTACATTATACTGTTACTTATTGACAAGTACTCTAGTAATACTCTCGTTCGTAATGACTTAAAAAGATAGAAGATTTGATCTGAACAACATTGTATTGTTACAGGTAAGCTATTTTGATTGTTTTCTTTCTGATGATTGTGTATTGATGTGGGGGTATGAGGTACATTATACTGTCACTTTATATTGACAAGAAGTCTAGTAATAACTCTTGTTATGTAATGGCTGATATTAAATCACACCACATGTACATGAGTAAAATTATTAATGTATTTATTAGTGGGTTTGTATTTACTACTAGCTACGATGTTTATGTATTTAGTATCAGGTGTATTTTAGGTGTGAACAACATGCCCAATTTTTGCAGGGTGGTTTATATAAGTAGCCATACAATGTAGTATATGATATCTGAAATGTTTCAGGAGGAACGTTATTACACTAAAACCGGGTATAAATGTTCATAATGCCGGGAGGTGTAATGTCGCTGGCAGTGATTTAAAATAATTATGTCGATGTGATTGTTATCTACGAGTTCCGGTCTGGCCATGATATACTGCTGAAGTTTAGCTTTCCAATTGATTCAATCAAGGACATTAGTAGTATAATGCCCTTGATTCAATCGTGTACCAATTGATCCCAAGTTCGTGGTTCATCATGGCATTTTTCGTTTGGTTTTCCCCGTCATGATAATGATCATTTTGGCATACCCATTTTCACCTGAGCGAAGTCGTGTAAAGTGCCTTGCCCAAGGGCACAAGGTTGGTGTCGTGGCAAGATTCGAACCCAGGACCTCTTGGTTCTGAGCCGAATGCTCTGCCGTTGCGCCACACAACCCCACACAATCGGATTTACCTGTATTCAATCAGATTTTATTGGCATATTGATAGGCTCTTGTGACAGGCGACCAGGTGATTAGAAAATTAGACCATGAGACAGTGAACACGGTAGGGTTACACCCAAGGTGACGACAGACTGCCTCAGGGCCTGGAGTTTAGGCCGGGTTTTTTACCGTCACAAATTGGCCTCTGCACACTTTTCTGTCATGATCACTCTAGTTATGTACTATCACCCGTGTGCGATATGGTAATTTGGCTTATTTTTTAGTTTTGTGGCGTTTATTTCATGTGTTGATCTCAGTGCAATGCTGTTTCATGTCTTTGTATGAATAATGTTACGTTCGATCAAAAATCAGCGTTTGTATCAACTCCAAGCAGATACAGGGTACGGCTCAGTGTTTTACGAGTGTTTTGAGGCATTTTCTACGCATTACTACAGTCAACCAGGTCTTTATCTCTTCGCCTTCTAGCTAGTAGTGAGGCCAAGAGGTAGACACGCCTTAAAAACACTCCTAAACCGAACCCCATATCTGCTTTAAGATTATCACACGCGCTCCAAGGTCAGATTTGCCTTGGCCTTTTTCTTTGGTCGCCTATATTGAATTTCTGCATGAGAATGGATTTCCAAGCCTGTCAAACGAAAGAAAATCTATACGACTTCTATAGCTGGAATTTGCGAGGTATTTTGTCAATTGACAATTTTGACAATTGCTTCCCAGAAGTGTAACAAATAGATGTTTAAAGTTGTCCGAAACCAGGGGTGTCAGAGTATACAATTCAATTGTACTAGTAACATTGTAATGTATACTAATACAATTGCGCTGTATTCCGTAAAATTGCACTGTATACTAATACGATTGTACTATATTCCGTAAAATTACACTGTATACTAGTAAAATTGCACTGTATTCCGTAAAAATGCACTGTATTCCCTAAAATTGCACTGTATTCCGTAAAATTGCACTGAATTCCGTAAAACTGCACTGTATACTCTGGCACCACTGGGAATATCCCATGGACACTTCAACAGAACAAACAAAGCGAAATCCCATTTTGTGACATGTTGGTTGTAACTGTACTTGTACTTTGTACGTTTGTGGGGATCAAACGTTTGTGATCACTAATTTGTCACATGTGCAAGATTCCTCATTTTTCCATTCTGATTCAGGGGGTGTTGGCCATCCGACCAGTGGAAGGCCCAAGGTTTCTATACGCGTGAAGCAGTCAGGCTAGATTGTTGTATTGTCTGTTTCTTCGTTATATCTGATAAGGATAATGTGGGAGCAGAGATTCCTAGATCTTAGATACCAAAGAAATGTGACCGTACGGTCACCAAGTCAACCTAAACATGCATTACTGCACTGCAACTTTGACAACTGAATTGATGTATGGTCTATTTCTTAGTTATGCCTGGAAAGGATAAGTGTAGGAAGTAGGATTTGTGATCTCCTACCAGCAACACATCTGGTGTGAATTAGATCAATAAATAGAGCACAGGGACCTCGTGTCTCTGAATCAGTCTTGCCCAAGCCGTGGTCGAGTGTGGACATCAGTCTCTATAACACTGGTGTCAGCGGTGGGATTCATAAATCTTTAAATACAAAACTAATGTGACCGTAAGGTTATGAACTCAAATTAAAAACATATTGCATTACTACACGTACAACTGCTGTTGTCTGTCCACCCTGGGGCTATTGGACCGCTCCTTGTCACCTTTACCCGATCAGAACACACCCAGTTACTGTATGAATGAACTTTCCTGTCAACAGTGATTTATGGATCTCATTTACAAACACACGAGTACTAGTAGATTTTTGTGGTGTCTTACGTTAAGGTCACGCTGCTTTGACATTAGTATTGTTTCCCAATATTTTTTGTGATGTACGGCATATGTTTGCCCATTTTGCAGCTGCTTTGTACGATTTACAGAGTGGTCGATTTTTTTTTTTTTGAAACGGACGAAAATTTATGCGCGCGTGGATGTCATCCATATTATGAAATCAACATGGCCTTAGAGGAAGTGAGCTACGACCAAATACCATTCTTGAATAATAATGAAGAGATCCTAAAATTGAGCTTTGAAAACGGTTTGTTTCGTCACACAGTATTTACTTGAATGGTCTTTTTTCTCGTATCAAGAGCGCATATCTAGTTTTAGAACGCCCAACCATGGTTATGTCGTCTAGTATGAACGGAACGGTGGTTTTACACGTACATACGGCATTCTGATTGTTCTGCTTCGATCGAGAGATTAACTGGGGTCGAGTGAATCGAAGTAAACGCCCTCCTCCAACAATGGGGCAAACGGGCCAAACCTATGTACCTACTTAGGCCACAGCAAGTAATTTTTATGGATGACATCTGCGCGTGCATTAATTTTCGCCTGATTTTGGGAAAAAAAACAAGAAATTTTGTTGCCTTCTGACAGTGGTCACCATGCCAAAATAGGCCAAGATGTCTGTTGCCATGCCGGAAGGTGGATGGCAGATAACTATCAAGAGAGGAGACAAGACAAGGCTCTGATTTTATGTTTTGTTTCTTACTTTGATGCAGTGATATGTGATGTTGGCTGTGTACATGTGATGTTCCCATTGAATCAAAACCATTTGTACAATGATTGAGTCAAAATTTCAAAATGTAAGAACCTTGTTTTTTTTCGGCCCGCCTTGTTTTTTTTTCGCCCGCTCGCATTAGATTTGGAATCTGTGGAGAATGTCATCCATAAAATTTACTTGCTGTGGCCTTAGTAAAATACCCAAGTTTAACAGACGCCAGGGTGTTGTGATGTGAGTAAGATTATACTGGGTGGGTCTGGAAACTCCCGAGCTTACATATGCCACATCACTGCAAAGGGCAGATCAGACGTCACTCTATCTGACCTTAATCTTTTGCTTTGACGTCCTGAGTCCAGAGAACTATTTCATTGTGGAACTCTCTACCGCACCATGCTGCTGATTTTCGTATCAAGCCCCCATCAATTCTTGCTTCAAAACTCTGCGCACCTTTTAAAATTAGGGTCCCATGTACGTTTAAGCTAGTATACACTGACCCTGGCTCATCTTTATTTATCTACGTATACGTAATATGAATAAATCAGGCAACTGGATAATTCTCTGAAGATTCATAGGTATCAGATAGCACCCACTACTAGTATCTTTCAGCTTAACTGCTCTTTCTCCTAATGACAAAGATGGTTTTTCAGTTTGTATGATTTATTTTTCATTATTTACAGATTTCGTCTATTGGCGTGGTCAACTATTTATTCCTTCAGTCCTGACGTTCAAACTTCACGATGAAACCCTCTGTTATAGCTACGGTCATCGCCACTGCCATTCTTCTAACAGGTGAACATTTCTCTTACACTCACGTCTGTTGTCTATAGTAGAGGGGATTCATTCCTCAAGCTACCGACATCTTCCACACGCAGTCGTCCACTGTGTGACAGGCTGAATAAAAGTTCTAAACGGGAACTATGCGGATCCAGATGTGTTACTGAGGGATGACAGCGTGTGCAAGATGTCGGTTAGCTTGAGGAATGAATCCCCTCTACTATATACTCACACTGTTGTCCTTTATTTTTCTTACAGTAGATGTTACATTGGCCGGAGGGTTTGGGACAGAGAAATGAGACAGAGTTTGCAACGCCCTCTATCGATTAATATTCGGTCTAAAAACTTTTCATTGCATATGATAGAAATTGTTTAAAGCTCATTAGATTTCTTGACTCAATTCGAGTCATTGTATTGTCAAAGCTATACTATAGATAAAGTGTCAATGTTAAAATTATGTATAATACTTTACATTAAAGATGTACGCTTTTTTTACATTTTCAGGTGTAAGATCATCTAATGCTCAAGGTATGATGATATGTTTCTTTCTAAGTGGCCATTAATCAATTAGATCAAATACTTAGTACGTAGAAAAACGTTCCATCATTATAGCTATTAGCTGAAGTATTAACACATTGAGGCAGCTTAAAATGATGCATTTGTTTTAAAAACTGTTCATTGACAGTACTGTTAGGAATCTTTTAAAGTTAACTTTCTATGCCTTTGTAAAGAAAGGACAGCAACAATTTGACTTAACGTACCACGTCTTGACATGTCATCGTCTTTAAGAGAAAGAGCTACTTTGTCACAGCCATAGGTAGAAACACCAATGAATGCTTCAATGTTTCATACAAAACTGACACAAGTATACTATGGGTCCCTCAGGTGAAGAAATACACAGCGTGAGATTCATCCCTGCACGCGGGGTTTGCACGTTCGTGTGATCCATCCCCTGGCCCCGCGAGCGCACGCTGTCGGTATATGGGACCCATAGGCGTGTATCCCTTCCCCTAGCTGCACGCTCGCACGCCCGGAAAAAAACTGTGTGTTTTTCTTCATTTTCGATACCCCATGTATGCCTGCCTGTTCAGTTAAAAAGTGAACTATTTATATAACAACAGGTTGTGCAGTTTTTCAATATTTCCCCATTCTTCAGGATGCTTCAGTCATTCCGGTGTGAGTCACAGTGTGGAGTATGCAGGGACGTGTTACACCTTTTCCTCGGCAAACGCCAAGTTTCTCAACTACCACGATACCAACTGTTACTCTCTGGGGTTGGTGCCTGTCAAAGTCACCAGCGAGGATGTCCACAATGTACTTGTGAAACAGCTTCTGTATCTGGATGGTCAACAAGGAGCCAAGGCCCATTGGATCGGTCTAGCTTTCTTGAACGGAAACTGGACTTACGATGACCACGGAACACAGCTACTTCCGGAGCATTACAACCAATGGGCGGATGGCACGGACTTAAGTCTGAGCACACGTGGCGCATGCGCAGCCATGGTGCCGCCGACTTATGACTGGGGCATCCAAGCTTGTACAGACAGCAAGAGGTACATCTGCCAGAAACGTGAGTGGAAATTTGTCAGCATTTACTGATTCGTTTGCTGATTAAGAAAATCTTATGGGCCACAAACCATATGAAGTTGGTTCCAATGCTAAATGTCATTTCCTTTTCTTACGTCGATGAAGGTTTGACATCCAGGTAATAAGATACGCCCAAAAGCAACTGGATATGATTTTGGAAACGGTCAGATGTTTCAGCTAGTATCCACTAGCTTTCGTCAGTGACTGAGAGACCAGAGGAGAAATGCAGGTTTAGGAGAGACCAGAGAAGAAATAAACCTACATTTCTCCTCTGGTCTCTCAGTCACTGACGAAAGCTTAAGTGGATACTAGCTGAAACGTCTGGCCGTTTCCAAAATCATATCCAGTTGCTTGAGTAACTGCTTTTTGGCATTTCCTTTTCTGTTAGATGGCAATTACCCGTCAGTTTATCTTATAATGTATTTTATATTCTGTACTGGTGTTGATATTTCTTGTTTTTTTTTCCTCACAGGAATAGAGCTTCCAAGTAAGTGTTGTCTTCTTTATCTTTCTGGTAATCTAATGAAGATAAGTAGCATCTGATTCTTCTTCCATCAAACAGGATGTGAAAATTATGTAGATGTTGCAGAAAATGTTGGCCTTTTTAGTTGCAGAAACTACAATGCAATGGAAAACAGTCTGACAGAAACAAAATATTCTGTGTTATTTTCAGGCTGTTTCCAAAATGAGTCCGTCAGCACCAGTATCGCCTATCGGGACGTCTGTTACACCTTTTCTTCGGAAAAGTCCAAGTTCCTCAACTTCCACGATGTCCACTGCTATGGCTTTGGTTTTATCCCCTCGAAAGTCAAGAGCGTCATCACCCACAATGTACTGCAGACACATCTGCTGTACCAGGCTACTCAGGGCGACGCTCTGCTGTACTGGATAGGACTGGCCGTGGTGAACGATCGCTGGGCCTATGATGACGCCGGGGTCCAACTGCTTGATGACGACGTCAGCCAATGGGCGTACGGCACTAACGTAACTGGCAATACCCGGAGGGGCGCGTGTGCAATCATGGCACCGCCGGGTTATGACTGGGACATCAAACCCTGTGTGGAAAAGCACAACTACATCTGCCAAAAGGGTAAGTAGTGTTGCATTATGTACTGCATCATTGAAAAACCTTCAACGTCCTAGCCAACGGTGGCCGTCACTTCATAAACCTGGGAGGTCCAGAGACGTAATGTCATTCGGTTTGTGATGTAGAAGGTTTGCTTAATTAATTAAGGCTGCTGATGACGATGTTGACGTTTGTTGTTGATTATGATAATCAAATCTAACATTGTTGTTTGTTCTCTTCCGCAGATATACCACTCACGCGTGAGTACTACTACCCTTTTCATTTGTAGTCATCCTGGTTTTACTAGTGCTTACATCTTTTTCGTATTGGTGCAGCATTCAAAGAGATGTTGATACTGTTTCTATTGGTTTTGAAAATCGTTTTCTATACAGAAAATTTATACATATTACTGTTTGTTTAATACATTTTACTGTGTGTTTAAAAGTCAACTGGCATAACGTTTGAGTAAAAAAATAATAGACATTACTATGTTGTCATGAAATTACACCAGAACTTCTGCGTATTTTCCAGCCTGTTACGACGATGACCCTACAGTGCCCAGTGCTCTGTATAACGGTAAGTGCTACCTGATTCCTCCGTCCCGAGACCAGTTTATCACCTACTTGACAACAAGCTGCTCCAACTACGGTGCTGAGGCTGTTCTGGATAAGGACGCCGACATTCACGCCCTCCTGGTCCGTCTGATCGAGAGGAACCGTATCAACGGGAGCGACATCTGGATCGGGCTGGGTTACACGTAAGTCTAACATCCTTTTCAATAAAATGTTAGGGATTGAGATTCTTGTTTGAAGTTAAAACTTTGGATCCAACACACAAAGACGTTCTCTCACCTAGAACTTTCGACCAGTCACTCTGGTCTTCCTCAGTAGACTGATCCAGTGAGGCTTGTCACGTGGCTTCTTTGAAGTGTGACGTCAACACTGGGTCAAAGGTATCTTGTAGACGATGTCGGCCCTCGTCGCGGTTGAGTGAAGGGTGATGGGCCCTGATGTAGCGCGTTAGTTTGTTATGTAAATCAATTAGTTGAAACAAAATCCGAATTTTCAGAAGAATTACGAAACATTTCTTTATATAGATGTTCTTACGCTTAACAATGATATCTACTTATCTTTTAGCAATGGAGAATGGACCTTCAACGACCAAACAACCGTTGGAAGTTTCGACACCTGGGCAGACGGCGAGAACACCGGCAGCCCGCAGAGCCCAAACACGTGCGTCGCTCTCGGAGAGTCCAGCAACTGGGACTGGACCATCCAAGACTGTACCACGAGAAAGAGCTTCATCTGTGAACGACGTACGTATTTCATGTAATATTATGTGTGTCTCTGCAATATTTGCTCAAATTGAACCACTATAGTTTGTAACAATATTAAACACCAAGTAAATGTATATAAAGTATCTCATAGATACAACCATTGCTCTTGCTCTTCAAGAAGTCATCGGCTTTGAAAAAACTACATACGCTTGAAAATCCTGCCATTTTGTGTTTTGGTTATCTTAAAGCTAAAGTCTAAGATTCTAACTATCGTCTTTTTTTTTAATTCCAGTGCCACCAACGCCAGAACCTCGTGAGTACCATTAATATATCATTAGGATTTTGTATTCACGTCTGCCGAACATTGTATTTACGTCTGACGAACAACATGTCATGTACACTGTGGTAAAATGATCAAATGGGACAAATTAGAAACTCTTTTAAAATTTGCATAGCTGGTACTGTAGTTCCAATAGAATTCAGGTTGGTTGAGTGTGATATTCCTGTCCTAAAGGCATCTAATGCATATTTTTAGTCATGAAAGCCCAATTTTTCAAAGTCAATATTCTAGTCACTTATCTGCATACTAAGTTAAAACTACATTATTCCAATTCATAGTGACCCTCATGGAGCAAAAATACCCAAAATTCTGACGGGAAATGGTTACTGGAAGGGCCCTGGACTGATTTTTAGGGTACCACCCATAAATCTTGGGACTTGTTTCTGCAGTTTCAAATACCCAAAGTATGAAATACTGATTGAAATGTGCTAATGTGAAGCAGTACTTGTCAATATAAAGATTACCTTATTCAGAATATTTCCAGTTTTCCAGCTGTTCTGAAATCGCATTGGATGCCTTAAAAGACATTGAGATGTTGAATTGTGTGCCATTGTTTCAGCCACTCCAACAGCGTGTTCGTTTGGAGTGACGAATCCAGCGGCAACTCCAGCACCTGTAACTTTTCCAAGAGGTAAAGGCTCAAATCAGTACATCGTTACTTTGCCACATTTTCGTAAAATCTAAAATGTGATTGAACATCATTATTCCATTGACTACCCCGGTAACTAATATTATATAAACACCAGTAACATCTATAGATTTCTTCTAACCGTAATAACATTCAATAAATTACATATAAAAAGTTATGGTCTGTTCGCTCTCATTGACAAGTCTTGCTTAGCATGCAATGTACTGCACTAAATAGCATGTTAGCATGTTCAGTTGAATAGCAATCTACGTATTTATTTCATCAGGGAGGACAGTTTTTCAATTGTTTGTCCCTCCTTTTTTTCTTCAGGATGTTTCAGTCATTCCGGTGTGAGTCACAGTGTGGAGTATGCAGGGACGTGCTACACATTTTCCTCGGCAAACGCAGGGTTTCTGGACTATCACGATACCAACTGTTATGCCCTGGGCCTGCAGCCTGTCAAAGTCACCAGTGAGGATGTCCACAATGTCCTTGTGAAACAGCTTCTGTATCTAGATGGTCAACAAGGAGCCAAGGCCCATTGGATCGGCCTGGCTTTCGTGAACGGAAACTGGACTTACGATGACCACGGAACACAGCTACTTCCGGAGCACTACAACCAGTGGGCGGACGGCACGGACTTAAGCCAGAGCCGAACTGGGGCATGTGCAGCCATGGTGCCGCCGACCTATGACTGGGGCATGCAAGCTTGTACGGAGAGAAAAAGATACATCTGCCAGAAACGTGAGTAAAGTGCTTTCGAAAAAGGTATTTTGCAGTACAAGGCAATTCTACACATGAACCTTCCCGAATACTTGGTTCAATGTGCAATGACGATGCGTCCGGTGGGGAGGGGGGTGATTCTGGCCATCATATATAGTCCAGAAAGGCAGACAACTACTAGAAGACGTTTACACATCAAATGTACTTTAAGAGATTTTTAAATTACTATTAGAGCTCAAGATTTGACAACTCGTATCCCTTGCGCAAATATTGACATGGCACCTGGTATGACATCATCAATCATAAAAATCACTATTGGTTACTTTTTCATTCAGTTCAATGTTATTCTAACAGTATTGTGTTCTTCCTTTTCCACACAGGTATGGAACTACCAAGTAAGTGTCATCACTGTATGTTAAAACAAGAAATATAATCTTGTGGTTTAGCTGCATGATAGCTTTTAGCACGTACCGTCTAGTACATTTGTTCAGTCATTTTATCATTGAAAAATTGAGTTTAATTGCATTGTACATGTGAGCAGGTGGTTTACATGCCTGTATTATTTTCAGGTTGTTTCCAAAACGAGTCCGTCAGCACCAGTGTCGCCTATCGGGACGTCTGTTACACCTTTTCTTCGGAAAAGTCCAAGTTCCTCAATTTTCATGATATCGACTGCTACGGCCTTGGACTTATTCCCTCGAAAGTGAAGAGCGTCATCACCCACAATGTACTGCAGACACATCTGCTGTACCAGGCTACTCAGGGCGACGCTCTGCTGTACTGGATAGGACTGGCCGTGGTGAACGATCGCTGGGCCTATGATGACGCCGGGGTTCAACTGCTTGATGACGACGTCAGCCAATGGGCGTACGGCACTAACGTAACTGGCAATACACGGAGGGGCGCGTGTGCAATCATGGCACCGCCGGGTTATGACTGGGACATCAAACCCTGTGTGGAAAAGCACAACTACATCTGCCAAAAGGGTAACTGCTCCAACCAAATTGCATTATGTACTGCATGACTAAATAGCCTTCAACGTCCTAGCCAACGAAGGCTGTCACTTCATGAACCTAGGAGTCCTGTCATTCGGTTTGTGAAATTTGCGCAATTATGATATTAATCAAGTATGATGTTGATAGTGAAATCTAACATTGTTGTTTGCTCTTTTCCACAGATATACCACTCACGCGTGAGTACTATCCTTTTGATTGTTTTGATGTCTGTTTTGGCAATATTTAGATAGCAGAATGTTTTAATTGGAGGTACAGATAGTCAATCGCTGAGGCATTGCAGTGTTAAATAAAGTTGTACATTGAACTGTACGAAGGTAAACTGAATTAACTTCTTGGGTGTCCATGGCAGTAGGACAATGGCATCAATGGCATCTCAGAGTAACTATTGAGTAATTGAAACATCACTGTATTGCCATCAAATTGCGTATTTTTCAGCCTGTTACGATGGTGACGGAGTGGTCAGTGCTCTGTATAACGGTAAGTGCTACCTGATTCCTTCGTCCCGAGACCAGTTTAACACCTACCTGACGACGAGCTGCTCCAACTACGGCGCGGAGGCTGTTCTGGACAAGGACGCCGACATCCACGCCCTCCTGGTCAGGCTGATCGAGAGGAACCAGATATCCGGGAGCGACGTCTGGATCGGGCTGGCTTACACGTAAGTCTTCTTTTTCAATAAAATGTTTTTTTTTCCAGAAATATTAGCGCAGTTAAAGTCTTGCTAAGGTTGAAAAAATCCCAAAACGTACAATGTTGCTACTCCAAAGACCCATAATTCCAAGGTGCCACTAACTTTCATATGTTCATTAAAAAGCATCGGGGTGTAGGGGGTGCAAGTAAGCAAAAAGCATCAGACACAGACCGAGGTTTTTTTCTCTAGACTTCAATTGAATTTGGTTTTGTTGCGATTGAAATACATGTACCATGTTTACTTTGCACTCATGCCATACCGTGTGGATAGGGGGATAGGGGAATTTATATCCGTGTAAACAAGAATTACGCTCTTCAAGGTTGCCCAAAATGACAGCAGCAGCTTCGTTACATGATACATATATACTATATAAAAAATGACGGGTTTACTGCAATTGACCACAGGTGATCCTAAATCGAACAAACGTTCGGCTCGAATTATGTCAGATCGAACATGATTTTGCTCAAAAAAAGTTGGAACATTTTGGCCCAAATTTGACTACCGTGCTTCGCAGATATTACGAAACTTCCTTTGTAGTGATGTTGCTTGACAATAATATTTATTTATCTCACAGCAACGGTGAATGGACATACAACGATCAAGCAACCTTGACTAATTTCGACCCTTGGGCAGACGGCGAGAACACCGGCAGCCCGCAGAGTCCAAACCTGTGCGTCGCTCTCGGAGAGTCCAGCAACTGGGACTGGACCATCCAAGACTGTACCGCGAGAATGAGCTTCATCTGTGAACGACGTATGTATCCATTGGATATTTTACCTTGCATGTGTTTGTGTGTGTGTTGGGGGGGGGGGGGTGGAGTCAACATTGTTGATTTTTTCAAATATGCTTTAAAATGATGTACCAAATCCTTGCACACAAACGTTCATTGAGTAGCAAAGAGCATGTGGTATATACGTATGCTTCGTTTGCTAAAATACAAAGACTAAAACGACAATGCCTATTGGTTCGTATGTTTGTAGACATCTGCTTTATCTGAAACACTTATAGGTGCATATACTAGGTGCTTGTCTGTAACTCTATATCGTGGTAAAAACTACACTATGACTAATTGTGCTTCCCGTTTTGTATTCCAGTGCCTCCAGCACCAGAGCCTGGTGAGTACTGATGTTAGAATGGTTATTACATCTGATGCCATATTGCCGTTCATCACTGCTCTACCTCAGAATATTTCCATACGCATCTTTAAATAGTTGCATTACAACAAACCTATCTGCTTAATGCTTCTGTGCTAAAGTGTCAAGAACTGTCATGACTTTAGATGTACAATAACTAGTAGATAGACCATTGTCATAAAAATGTACCCATTAAATTGGATTAATTTCTTTAAAGCTGACATTAGATATAGTCTCAGGTTACTTTCTATATTGACGTAACACAAACGTCTCCTAATATATCATTTCAATTGTGCTGTTATTCTGTGTATGTTGAAGCCAATTGTACTACAATTTCACCGACGACTCCCTCCGCAACGACAACGTCAAGAACAACGCTGCAATCATCAACACCAGCAGGTAAACACGTTATTTATATCACAACTTTATCCGGTGTTTTTCGAGTTCCCCCAAATCATCCTAATATCTGGTTATTAGGCAGTAATATAATTATATATTCACAAATGTTTACCAACTGTAGTCTTAAGCTCTTTAATGCCAACGACCTCGACTCAACAACCTAACACAACTGCCTTGACGACTGCTTCGATTTCAGCAACTACAACTCAACAACCTAACACGACAGTATCAACTGCTGCAGCTACAACTCAACAACCTAACACGACAGTCTCAACTGCAGCAGCTACAACTCAACAACCTAACACGACGACTGCTGCAGCTACAACTCAACAACCTAACACGACGACTGCTGCAGCTACAACTCAACAACCGAACACGACAGCCTCGACTGTAGCAGCTACAACTCTTGAACAGGTTGAAACAACAGCCACAGCCTATGTAACTGCTAGCGCAGAACCTAAAATAATAACCACGACTGCACCACCAACTACTGAACAACCTACGACAACTTTCACTACTGAACCAACTATTGAACAGCTTGAAACAACAGTCATGTCTGGTGTGACCACTGTTGCAGAACCTGGAATAACAACAACCACCACTGCACCACCAACGACGGAACAAGCAAAGACAACAGTCATTGTTGAACCAACAACTCCTGAACAGCTTGGAACAACAGTAAAGGCTGATGTAACTACTAGTGCAGAACCTGAAATAACAACCACGACAGCACCACCCACTACTGAACAAGCTACAACAGTCATCGTTGAACCAACAACTCTTGAACAGCTTGAAACAACAGTAAAGGCTGAAGTAACTACTGGCCACATACCTCTAATAATAGCGACAGCACCTCGAACCACTGAACAATCTACAACAGTCATTGTTGAAGCAACGACTCTTGAGCAACTTGAAACAACAGTAAAGGATGAAGTAACTACTAGTGCAGAACCTGATGATATAACAACCACAACTGCCCCACGGACCAGTGAACAAGCTACAACGACAGCAGCAACTACAACGACGACAGCAGCAACTACGACGACAGCAGCAACTACAACGACAGCAGCAACTACAACGACGACGACAGCAGCAACTACAACGACGACAGCAGCAACTACAACGACGACAGCAGCAACTACGACAGCAGAAACTACAACGACAGCTGTGACTACAACGACAGCAGCAGCCTCGACTGCAGCGCCAACTCCAACGCCAGGTGTTCGTTCTACAACTCCTTTTTTGACTCCCTCAGTGACTCCTACAACGACCGCCCAAGGTGAGAGAAACCAATATCTTTAGTCTTGATTTTTAAAGTCTAGATACCCTTATTGTACTTAAGAGTGATGTGAGATATACCTTGCCTTTGATGAACAACGTTCCAACACCTTACAGCTAGTTGTATGTCTTTTGGCCATGTTGCATTTTTACCTGAAAAAAAAAAAGACATTAAAATGTACTGTTCAATATTGATCTTAGTTTCGTAATTTTCTCCTTGTTTAGATCAAGACCTAAAGGCCTATGTGACAGCACAGTTCTCTGCTGGATCACTCACGTACATCGATGCTTACGGAGACCCAAATAGCCAGGAGTATAAGGAACTGGTGGAGCAAATTGAAACAGCGGTAAGAAAGATACTTCTCACTGCATTTTGGATAAATTAGAAAACATGATTTGGTCAGGAAATGGTTAGTCATTCAGCATTCATACTATGTTGAATCAGTTTTCTTTCGTATTGAAAGACCAGCATTTAACTGGTAATTTGTACTGGAAACTTTTTTTCAGCAAACTTGATTGTGATGATAATGAATATTTTGTTTCAGCTCAATATTGAATTTAAAGAAAAACACGGACGACAATTCAGTAGATGGATCGTTCAGAAGTTTAGGTGAGTACTAATTCTTTGGAAACATGGAAACATTGGTAATATCATATAAGAGTTTTTTTTGTATTTTAATTGATTCTTAATACTAAATTAATATTTTACCCAGAAACAGTGCTGATGGAGCCATATATACTAGTAGCCTGTGCACATATTATGTAAGCATGTCCACCAGAAAGCGTAACATTGAATATAAATGGCTTGCCTTTACACACCTGTAACTTGCCTAAAGAGTTAAGCAATTGAATCTTCCATTTTCTAGGTAGAAATGTATTCCTAGTGTATGTACAGTATGAGGAGGGAGCAGTTCTCAACTGAGTCTGGGATATTGTCTCACTTGTATCCTTGCTTTCAGTCCGGGAAGCGTTATAGTAGATGCATTGGTGGAAGTGGAGCCGACACAGGACGCAGTGAACAAGGTAGCAGCGTCTGTCATGCAGTCTCTTCAGTCTAGAACTCTCGGAGTCAACACTACTTTCAACTTTACTCATGTGGGCGCCGTCATTGGGACATTCGGTACGTCATTCAACATGGTAGACTACTGATCACCTACACACGTCGTCAATGCTCTCTCTCTCTCTCTCTTCCTCTTTCTCCCTCTCTCACTCCCCCTCTCCCTCTTTCTCCCTCTCCCTCTCCCTCTCTTTTTCTCTCCCCCTCTCTCTCTCTCTCTCCCTCCCCCTCTCTCTCCCTCT